TAGATTTTCCCTAAAAGTCAAATTCAGAATCAAACAACTCCCATAAGTCCCCTTGTTTTACGGGTGTTAGCTTCTCCAGGATGGGTTCGATGGCAGCGAGGCACTCTGAGCTGTTGCTGTCCTGGGACCAGGAGCTCGGCAGATTCATGAAACATCCTGCAGCCATGGGAGCTCTACTTCCTCTCTTCCCTGGTATGAGGTTCCCTGAGCTGAGGTTCTGCTGGTCGGCCAGGTTGTTCTGATCACGGATCTCGTAAAGGGGTCCTGATGTTTTCTGTGACTTCTTACATGGATTTATAGGTTCGGTGTTTTCATCTAGGGCAAACTGCTTCCTACTCTGAGAGAGCACCAGCGGCCTCTTTTTGTACCTTTGGCCCTTCAGATTGAGTCTTCTCTTTCCGAAGACGCGCCTGCAGCCCTGTTTGGAAGTTTCGCCCTGATGTTTAAGGTTGCATGGCACATTTGGAAGCTGTGTGCTTTCACTTTGGCTACTCTGCAGAACGTTGTCCACTGGCTTCTCCCGCTCTGGAGATGTTTGAATGGCGCTGTCTAACACTGATTTAGGATTGGGTTTATCTGAAGGCTTAGGAACAAGAGAGTTGAGCAGCTTCAGAGCCTCCTCCAGCATTTTTTGTTCTCTTTTCTGCTCCCCTCTCAGACACTCCAGATTACTCTTTAAGCTCTTCAGTTGTGTTGCAAGATCTGATGTGGCTTCCCCATTCTAAACAAACGAACATTAATGTCATTATTGATCAAACAATGATCTGTTTCTACTGCTGTCAAAAATTAGATACCACCATAAATTGCTACCTTTTGCAGTTTTTCCTTCAGATCCATCATTACTTCCTTCTGAGAGCTTAATTTGTCTACCCAAGTCTCAAACATCTGGGAAATGTCTCTCTGAAGACTCTCCAAACTAGTTTTCACTGAGGTGATAGTGGAAAGACAGACAACGTAACTTACCCTGCAGTCGGTTCATTTTAAAATGAATACAAGAATCTACATTCTTGTAGCTTCAGCATCAACTCCTTTTATTTGATGTTTAAATCGACATCAAAGGAGTTAGATGTTTCTTATAGTCTTACAGAATGATCTTGATCAATAGTTAGCAGTGCTTTCTGAAGGCCTTAAAATGTTTTTTGGGGAAAAATAGCAAATGGACAAGTCAGGGACAAAAAATGTCAAGTTAAAAATGATCAACAAATGTTGATCATTTGTTGATCAACATCTATCCATGAATGAATAGATGGATCAATAACAAGACGAAGCAATTCTGAAAATAGAAATATTTTATTAAATTATTTTTCCATTTTTCCAGTGTATTATTATTTCAAACAAATTTCCAATTTTCTTACATATAGAAAGGCTGTTAGTGTTTTTCATCAAATAAAATTTGTTTGCTAAGTTGTCTGCAGCATATATATATATATATATATAAAGGTTTATCTTTTTAGCTTTAGGAGCTTATGTGCCTGAAGGTTTAATATCTAAATGCTTAGTGACTTGAACAAATCACAATTTCTCTAAAAATGGTAGTGCACTAAAGACAAGTAAAAAAAAGCAGAAAAGCGCCAGAGACAAACTTTGCAGAACCTTCAGAAAGCATGTGGAAATATTGATCAAGACCACCTTAAAACATTACAAAAGTCTTGCTCCTCTGAAGTAAAATGTATAGAAATAAAGGGTGACTTGGGAGTTTTACACTGTATGTACAAATTGTGATAATAGGGCAAACAGCACCACACACTGGAGAAAACAAATGTTTGCAGTTGTTTTTATCCCTAAATTTCAACAATACATTTATTTTATTCTTATTAGTGTAGTGGCATTGAGTGAGACACATGATGTATCACAGATAGGGGCCGAATCAATTGCCCCCAATGTAAGCCAGCTTAGAAAACAAAACCAAAAATGGCGCATGTTAAAAGAAAGGTCACCCGACCCTGCCTTTGCGTATCGCATTAATCCATCCCAGAAAATGCAGAATCAACTGGCAGAAAACTTACGTGATGATGCAAAACTGTCAAATTTTTCAAAGATTGTTTGGCACACAGACGTGTTTTTCTCAGTGCCAGCCACCAGTTGTTGAATCTGAAAGAAGTTGTATGTTTTGAACATCTGGAGGACAGAAGTCAGTGATGGACACTGAATGACCGACTGTCCATGTCCACTTACATTGATGAGAGTTTCTCTAATATGTTGGGATTCTTTAAAAAACTGGTCACTGTTAAAAACAAAAACACAGAGATTGTAGATGCAATATACAAACATTTTTTGGAAACCTTTTTGTAATCAAAATATCTGATTTAAGTTTATGGTTCAAGGATTCACCTGTCACTTCTCTCTTTTGCTTTTTTCCTGTCCTCTTCAAACTTGTCAAGCAAGCCTGAGGTTCTCGTTTTGTCCTTCATGTCCCCAAACAGAAGAGGTTTAGAGGTATATCTTTTTAAAATTGTTGAGTCACTTCCCTGGAAACAAAAATTTAACAACATCTCAACTATGACTATCAGTGAGAGTGTAATTAATCATAATGTGTTTCACTAAATAAACCGAGTCATTGCAATAAGTAGACTGTTTTAATAACTAATTTATGCAGGAAAGAGACTTACCTCCTGTGAACTTTGCTGGGAGTTTCTGGATGACAGACTCATTTCCTGAGACATACCCTGGGAATGTTCATGCCAAAACTGGGAGCCAAAGAAAACCTGGGAATCTGTCAGACTGGGAAATCCATTGGAGGCCCCATTTCTGCTAGTTAATTAGTCATCGTGATGTAGTGTGTTGAAGAAAAAACAATCAAACACAAATTAACTAAAAAATGTATATATTTGTAAATTAAAGCTCAATGTTAAGTGTAAATAAAATAAAAATAGCAGCTTATTTAGCGACATTGCTGGCCAAGAAACAATATTAAAGAAAATATAGCTAATTACCTGGTTCCAGCTGGTATGTTCAACATTTCCTTGATGTTCCTCAAATAACTCATTGCCTGGTTTCCTGCTTGAAAGATCAACAAGTTAGCTCAAGATTTAAAAAAAAAAAAAAAAGTTAGCTTAAACATGCTAGCTCGGTATTTCAGTCAAACAGAGAAGGATTTAGCTGAAGAATGCAACAGATTACATCTGTAAAGTTTAAAATCTAAACTGTAGGTGACACAACTACACTAAAATATAAATGAATCCACTCACAGGTCCCTTGGACTCGTTCCTGGGACTTATTTGCAAATAGCTTAAGAAAACCTTTTGGCTATTCAGCTGTTTTTAATTTCCCGCCGTTCAAGCCTTAATGCGAGGCGAGGTTGCGTTTACTGACCGTGGAAAAGAAAGCTTACGCTCATAGAAATACATAAGAAAATAACCGTTTTGGATTGCTATTTGTTTTTTTGTTCACTTAGTAATTATGCTCCTATTTATACCGTTTGGAATATTTACTCTTGTGAAAAAAAAATACGGACTTAGTTTGAATTTAGAGACAAGAGATCTTATAACATGATCATCTTGAAGTAGCTCCAGCTGGCCCTATGGTGACAGAAATTGAACAGGTGCCAAATTTTTCACATAATTACATAGATCACTTAATAAATAAAAAATACAAAACTATATATATATATATATATATATATATATATATATATATATATATATATATATATATATATATATATATATATATATATATATATATATATATATATATATATAAGCTTTCTATATAAGCTTTCTGAAAGCTTATATTTAAGCTTTCAGAAAGCTTTCAGAAAGTGAGTACAACAGAAGGAAAAATGTATAAAACTACTTCAGTAAGTAATTAAAGGGAAGCTATTCTCATTTTACTTCAAGAAGCTAAAAATGGATATTAGAAAGAATATTAATAATTTCTTGTACATGTTTTTCTGGGCCATGGTGGAGCCTTATATTATGTGCCTGTTGGGAGATTCATCAGAATCTGCTATAAATATAAAATAGATTATTTTCATTATTATTATTATTATTATTATTATTATTATTATTATTATTATTATTATTATTATTATTATTATTATTATTATTATTATTATTGACAAAATTAGCACAAATAAAACACAATATGTGCCTGCCGATCTGGTTATGTGTTTATTTTTTTTCACATAACGGCACTTTAACATTTCAGTTTAATAATAATGCTGGCTTTCACTAATTTACTGCTGTCCCAGCAATGTCAGCAATATATACTCTGATGTGAAAAGACAGACAAATTTTAATTACTTGACTTGCACCTTTGGTTATGTTGCACACTTGCCTTTATTAACAATTAACCTGTTAACAAGAGCTGCAGGGGTCTTATGTTTGTGAATATTACAAGTATTTTTTGTCTGTATTTGAGAGTTATTGTTATTTTTAGGGTTGCACAGTATTTGATAATCTTGCACTGACTATAAAGTTTTATTGTATACACGCTGCCATAACACTACCCAACAGGCAAAATAACCTGAACACACCACCTTTACCTTTCAGCATGGTCAAGGTACCATCATGCAAAGGGAGGGCCTTTCTTGAAAAAGAGGCTTAAACTGGTCAGAACTGATGGGAAAATTAAACTAACATATACGCACGTTCATTACATTTTATTCATAGTGGGGCCGAGGGAATGGTATTTAAGAGAAATAGATTATTTCAGGGGTAGATAAATGTTGCGCTCCACAAAGATAAATGGAGTCGGTGGTGCGTGGACTTTATTTTGAAAATCGCTCCCGGAAGTCAGCTTGCCAAAAAAAATTTTAAAAACGGGTATCTCGGAGTCGTAGGATTACCTGTCTGAGACAGTCACAGAGGTGGGTCCATGACAAATCCACCAGCGAACTGCAGTGACTGTGTGGCAACAGCCCCGCTGCAGACCAGACCTGCGGGTTTTTAACCCGCACAGGTGAGTTTGGTCAGGCCGAAGCCTGCAGTCGTCTGGCTGGTGAGTTTAACTTTCCTCCGTTTCAGCTCGCAGCACTCGGTTCTGCCTCTGCGATTCAAACCGATGACATGAAACTAGTCCAAGTGGATTCTGAGATGTTCTTATGTATCGCTAGTTTAGGTGTTTTCAGTGCCTTTTGGTCATTATTTCACGTTACGGCAGGTGCTAGCTAGCTCAACACCTGGTACGTCAGCCCACCGACGCTGACCTGCTGCTCCTCTGTTTACATTGTTTCTGTGCACAACAGCGCGGCTGGCAGAGATGCAGATGCAATCAGGAGAAACGCAGCGTGTGTTTACTGTAGCCTTACAACATGCGCACTTTTTATACACATTAAAGTGGCTAGTTTAAACCAGTTCGAGCAAGCATAATATTAACCATATCTGAAATTGACATCTCCTATTATTTTTAGAGTTTCTAAATGCATATAAAAGTTCCTTGATTGTAAAATTTAAGAAAATTTAGGCTAGAAAATTAAATCTGAGGACCAAGACAGGTGAATATATGTTGAAAATGAAATGCATGAATTTGTCTTTTTTTATTTAAAAAAAAATATTTGTATGAACGTTTTAACTTATTTCCAGTTATTTTGAGGGAGATCAGTTTAGTTATTATTTCATATACAGAAATAACATGCAAGATATGAAACATTAATAATAGTGTCTACATGTTTTTCTTTATTCAGTGTTATCACTACTGTCTGTGCATCTTAATAACATAAAAATAATGGTGGTCTTTGTTTGTTACTGTAAAATAAAATGTGCTCAAGGTAAACAATCCTTCCAACTTGAACTAAACAACAAATGGTCAAACTTGTTAATTTTGTTGATTCTGATGGACAGTATTTATTGTAATGACAACCAAAGATATTTACGAAAAACTTTGTTTTGATATCCGTCTCTGCATGTAGTCAGAGCTTCTCAAGCAAAACTATTTCTCAATAGTCTAAAAAAATAAAGAAACTGTAATAGAGAGAAAGAGTTGGAGGTGGAGGCAGAAGAGTAGAGTTCACACAAGGGTGATTGACAGCACTAAGAACTTCCTCCTGGATCTGATTGTTTGTTCCTAGTTAGCATTGGGAGAAGGCAGAGGAGCTCTTTTTTTATTATTATTTTCAATGCATCATCTTTCTTGTACCGTACTGTTATTACATGCTGACAGTTTCAACAAATGTATAAAGACACATATATGTTTTTTGTTTTTGTTTTTTATAAAAGTTACACTCTGCAGCTTTAACAAGACACTTCTTCTGAGTTTTAGCTTTAAAGCTAAACTACTTTGAGTCAAGGTGAGATCTGGTGCTGGATAGAAGATGTCTTTATGTGTCACCAAGACTATTTCCACAGGCGAGTTCATGAGTTAAGGTGTGTCTTGCTTTGTAACATTGATTCATGTCTAAATTAAATCTGTTTCATCAGTAAGGATTCAAGTATGGGTTTGTCCTTCCTTTTGGTCTTGGCTGCCTCTGTGATCCTGATCAGACCGGAGACGCCTGTAACGAAGGTACAGAACTGATGTTAATCTGCTGTTCAGGTTGTGCAGCTTCATTAATCCAGTTCTTTGCTCCCAGGCTCTACATCATAACTTTATGGAGTGCTGTGGAGAGAAGCAGAAAGTGAACAATTCGTGCTCAAATGACACTCACTGTGAACCAGGTAACGTGGGAGTGTTCATACTTTTCCACATTTCGTCATATCTCCACCACAATCTTCAATAAGCTTTTTTTTCATGGTTTATATCTGACCAAGTTGAAAATAATTGTGAACTGGCAGAAGAAAAATACCTTCTTTTTAAAAAAATAAAATAAAATTTGTGTGTCGTATAGTTTGTATTCAACACTTTGTGTTTGTAATTTGTTAAATCACCCTTAACTTTTGCTACAGTTGCAAGTCTTTTGGATTATGTCTCTATCAGCTTTGCACATCTAAAACTGACATTCTTTGTAGAATAGCTCAAACTCACATAGCTCAAAGTTTTGAGTCTGCAGATTCTGAGTGACATCTAGGTCTGGACTTCGACTAGGCCATTCTAACACATAAAATGGATACAAATCATACCATTGCAGCTCTGGCTGTATTTTTAGAAGCACTGTCCTGCCAGAATGTCAAACTCCACTTCTGTCTTGAGTTTCTTGCAACCTATATCAGGAATGTCAAGTTTTCTTCCAAGATTTTAGCATTTCCACTCCAGACTTCTGTTCCATGTCCTTTCAGGAAAAGAAAGCTACTGACATGTTTCCGCTTTGGGATGTTAAGTGTTACTGTTATGCCCATACGTTGTGTTGAATTTTATTTAGTGGCATCACGTTAAACAGGCCTCAGATTTTTAACAGGTAAAGAAATTCAAAACCTCTTTTGCTGTTCTTTTGTAACTACCAGAATAATATATTGAAGCTTGGTATTCAAGGGGTTTGAAGAGCTTTATTGTTACTCCTTCCTGTGCTTGTGGAGACTTTAAAATTTGATCAACATTAAAGTAAAACATTGTAGTGTTGCGTTAGTTTGAATGTTGGCTTATTATAATTTATTGTATTTTGAACTCCAGCATTTATCAAAGTTGATAAATGCTGAAATACTCACTGTTTATCTTGTGCAGGTTGCTTCTATCGTTTGCTGGAGAACAGCAACGTGATCTGCATATTCTGTGACTCTGCAGCTGTGGATTTGGAGAATGTAACCGTTTGCACATACAGTAAGAGCTTTTGAAATCTAATTGTTCAGAGTGAGTCTTAAAATATATATATATATATATGTAATTTGACTTTTGTTCTTCTAGACTACACATTGGAGCGTAAAAACCACACAACAGTAACAACTGTCATTCCTAAAATTGGTAAGAAAGGTTGACTAAAACCCGTCTCCCAGGTTCTGAGTTCTGGCAGAGTTGTGAGTGGGGGTTGTTTCCTGTTTTTGTGCAGGAGGCCCTGGCGTCGCGGCCTCCGTTCTTCTGGGAACTCTGTTGATCAGCATGTTCCTCATTCTCACTGTTGCCTCCTTTTTCTACCTCAAACGCTCCAACCGGCTGCCTGGTTTCTTCTACCGGCGAAACAAAGGTGAGTACAAGTCTCCTCAGAGGAAAGACTCTTATGAATTGGCTCTTAGTATTTTTTGTCTTTTGTTTACTTTTGTTTATATTTACAGCCTTTATATTTCAACCAAGTGAGACGGTAAATCTTTTTCTTTTCTTCTTCCAAACATTTTATTTTAACATTAGAAATTATAAAGAAGCTCATGGCTTTTTTGTTTTTATCCCTTACAGGCAGTTATGATCCCTTCAGGTAAGATGACTGTGTCTGTAAAATACCTGTTTTAAGATCTTGCTCAACAGGTTTTAATGTTGTGTACTCATTAAGCAATGCCTGAAATATTTGGCTCCAGATGTTTTGGAGCTGTTCAAATGTTTTCTTTTAATTACGGTTGTGTCAATTCATGCACGACTGTTTTCAGAAAGAGTCATGCAGGAATCTTCCAGATTACGTTGCTTTAACTCATGTGAGGGTTCAATCATTAAAATAATGAGATTATTCATACAGAGCCTCGCAAAGGCTTTTGTACACCTTGAAAGTTTTCACATTACACTTGCAGCTTTGCAGTGTGTTGTCTGTAATAGGTCAACAAAAATACACTTCACTTTGGATGGCTGTCTTTCAGAAAATATTTAGCTCCCTCCATCTTTTTATCAGCTCTGACTAGTTTCTAGTGGGGAAAAAAAGCTTCCCATCTAGGGCTGCAGAATTTAACACACATATTCTCATCATCACAGCATCAGTGTGTGCAATAAATAATATAAATGAGACTTTGGTCTGCAGTAGTTGTCAGGAGCTTACAGGTAATATTTATGTTGGAATAGTCACCTGTTAATTGAGTCTCATTAAACGCCAACACCAAAACCCAAGATACTGAAGGTCACGAATGGAGGAGAGAAGAAAAGTTGGACCAATCGCAGCTGATATCATCGTCCCAAATTTACCAACATCTCAACTTGCTTTATTATTATTGTTTTAAATAAGGCTCGGCTCATATCATCATCCTAGAAATATCCACGTGTCACGATTGGGACGGTGTATTAGCAGTGATGTACATTTACTTTTTGCTGGACATTTTAAATGTTGCCCAAAGTTATAATTTAGTTTCATCTGACCACAGCACCATCTTCCACCTGTTTGCTTTGTCCTTAATGGTTTGTGGCAAAGTTTATGCAGGAGTTCATATGACCTTTAGGATTTATTCCTGCCACTGTTTCTTAAGACCAGATTATGTGGAGCACAAGATTTGGTTGTTCTGTTAACAGATTGTCTCATCTGACTCTAGCCTTAAGAGTCCAGAGGTCTGTTGTGTTCATGATGTTAATCCTTCACCAATCCTCCAAAGCCTTGCAAAACTTTAATTTAACAAATTATTTTTATGATGGACTATTTCATGAAATCCAAATAAAACATATCGACTTCAGCGCTGTCTGTGACAAAATGTGGACAAATTCAAGAAATATGAATACATTTTACAGAGAGATTTGAGTTCATCACACACAAGAAACAGAATGCCTTTAAATTAAATATGAGCTCTTCAATGACATTTTTTTAAAGGCTCTAGTTTGATAGTTAATTGACAGGAAAGTGGGTAACGATAGAAGGGGAGGATCTGGCACAAAGGTCGCCAGGCTGGGAATTGAACCTACGACATCCGTGTCGAGGACTAGGGCCTTTATTTGTGGGTTGTGCTTAACCCCTGCGCCACCACAACACAACCCCACTTCAGTAATATTCTAAAAGTCTTGCAACTTTACATTGTCATGACTCCAATATGTTCACTCCGAGCGATTAGATGTTACCTCCTCAGCCTTTCCTCAGGACATTGCAAATACAAATCTGTTTAGTTATGTTCAAGCTGAGCGACAACTTTAAATGCTTCCATTCAAAACTCCTAAGGTTGGCAGAAAGTCTTCTGATTTCCGAGCACATTTAATTAAACACATTGTTTTCCTTCTGCAGGGAGGAAGCAAAGATATGTGAGGAGGGAGCGGCCCTCAACGCGAAACATCACCACCATCCCCACCTCAGCTACCACTCAGGTGCATAATTTGTAGGAGGAGTGATGGGTTTGGTGCAGGTAGGGAGGAAAGCTCAGGAAGGATCCGAAGAAAGACCAGCTGACTCTAGGAATGTTGGCCAAATATAACTGCTGTTGCTGCTCCTGCCTTCGTATCACTAAGGCTGACACTGTTTGTGTTTTTAACAATAACCTGTCACACTGACACTGAATTTACTGGAAATCCACTTATTTTTTTATTTTTTACCTTTTTCTTTCAGTGAAAATCTTTAGAATAACTTCAGTTTTTAGTTGACACACTGTTTCCCCAATTTTATTGGTTTATCCCAGATCACTATGATAAATTAAGTGCCAAGAATAGAGAGGGGCATTATAGACCCTTTTTCAGAGTCAGCTAGTTGTGTTTGAAATGCTTGAAATAGTTGAAAATTAGCTGCTTAAACCAGAGAAAAAGCCTTTCTGTGTTTGCAACACATGTTTAAATATAAGCTGATTTTAATCTGCTGCTTCTGAATATGAGCTCAGCAGCTCCATCAAAATAACTTGGCATATAATAGTTACATTTTTCCTCTAAAAGGGTTCGGCAGCTGTGACTTTTGTGGAGCAAACAGACTGTCTAACATTCAATTTGTTTTTCTACTGACCCTGCTTGTTTTTGCTTTCATTCTTGCTTTGTGCACTGACTTTTCCTGCTTGTATTAAACCGATATTGGTTTTCTGGTGGGCCAGAATTCATCAAGGAGAATTCCCAGAGGCACTGTATGGATCAATATTTCTATCTTCTAATTTTGTAATTTGCATTGTTGACACTGTATTTATTTTTGTAACCTACTGAGATGTATCATGTCTTCTGGTTGTCATGAACTGCAACCCACTGGCTTTCATAATCATAATATTTATAAGGATATTTATTAAAGAAATCATTGTATCAAATCAAAAAACTGAATTTGTTCCGCAAAGTGTGGTTTCGACCCAAACTTATATTTTTAAAACGTAACCTTTGCGAGTCTATGTGCACTTTAAGGTACCAAGCTCATAATGAAAATGTCCTTTTTAACAGAAAAACTCCAAGTATCTTACTAAGTATAGCTGTTTTTTTTTGTTGTTGTTGTTTTTTTCTCCAGGAACCAGCACTATGTTTTCCACCATGAATTCTATTTGCCTAATATTTAATTTGCCAAATATCAGAAGGAAATGGTGTGATTATATTACTGTAATAATTGTGCCATTTTCAGTTTTAAACACAGCTGAGGAGCTTTTGATGATATCTGTGATGATTTTCATTTTTGGATCGTATCCAGTGGCCTTTACTGTATCTCTAATTCTCATCCAAGTCTCTGTTCTGTTTTATTTTGACAACCCTGGGACAGTTGTGTGTTTTACTACTTCAAGTCACTCAATTGCAGTCATCATTCCTTAGCTATTCATCCTGTTTGCTACTTATGGTATTTGTTGTACAGTTAAACAAAAGCTTGATATGTGCATTTATTATTTTTTTACAAATGGAGTGTTTTTGTAATGTACTGTTTTTTGTTTTAGTGCCATGATAAAAGTTCAGAAGATGTATAATTTGCAAAAATAAAGCACCTTTCTCTAATCAAAAGGCTGTATTTTATTTTTTAGAGTTAAATCTGCAGGTTCCCTGATGTACATGCAAATAAAATAAGTTAATTATTAATGTTTGTATCCACTTGGAAATTGTTACAGTTGTGAGTCTAACTTAGTTCTTCTGGAGGTGTAAAACGACCTGATAAATGCATAGTGTTGGGATTTCATTGCTCTTTTCATTAACTGGAAACCTGAGCAAAGTTACATTGCACAACTTGTCCAGTTGCAACCCAAAATCATCAATGTAATTATGTGACCTTCAGTCTCTAGTAGTTTTTTTGGACCAAACTATTAAGCAGAAAAACAAGCCTCATATGAATACATATTCTAAGACAGTTATTGTTTGCCACCAGCAAAAATGTGTACCTTCTTAAAAATCCCACTCAAAAAAAGAAGACATTCACTTCCTTTTTAGAGACGCAACATCATTGTTAAATTGTGGTATTGTCATTATTAGTAAGTAATTACTATTATCAATTATTAGAAGAAGTAAAATGCCACACCTCTGGTGAGCATGGAGAGCTACACGTGACAAGGACATGTTACTCTATTTATACCAGCGTAGTGGAGGGCAACGGTGGGACATGTGCAAGGACAGATGGACATCATAGTTGAAATGTCCAGCAGGAAAACACTGAGAGCTCTTTCACACGGGATGACTTGTCTGTCTGCAGCAGGTAGGACCTTCAATGAGTTTATAAAGAACGTTGCATGTTTGATGATTAATGTAAAACAGCGTGACCTTGCTGTGAGAGCTGAATAGGTTTGTTTATATGGATCTTAAGCGTTTTTGTCCCACAGATTAAGCTCCCCGAGTTGTTAAAAGTGAAGAACATAACATTTAAGATTGAAATCGCAGATTTTCTTTCTTTTTCTTTTTTAAATAAATATGTGTAGTATCTGTGTAATTTCTTTAGCCCACATCTTGTTTGTTAAGCTGATCTGTTGGACCCCTGCTTTCTTTGCCCCCCACCCCTTAACAGATCATATAACTTGTTTTCTAAGAGTGGATCTGTGGGGGTATTTTGGGGTTTGACATGTGACTGCATTGCTTTTGAGTTGGTTTGTTGCTTTCCTATTAACAGTAAAACAGGTCATGCTTGCTAGTTTCCAACTTGGCAGGTGATAACAACCAAATGCTCCTGTTCTAAATTTAGGTCCATTGTATCAAGCAAACAGCTCAGTCAGAGATCCTACCCTGTCTGTGTAAAATTTAATACAGGGAAATTTCAGGTTTAGATAATTATGGAGAAAGAAAACACTTTCATGTCAACTCTTTATTATTTATCCAAATGTTTTCAGTAGCCTCGTGAAAAAAAGCCCTGAGTTTTGCTGCACTTCATTATATTACAAACAAACTTATTGTGTTATTAGGATTTATTGTAATAGATCAACACAGGAGTTCATAGATGTGAGGGAGAAGGAAGATGGTACACTGCTTTCAATAAAAATGTGAGAGGTGTGATGTACATTTGCGTTCAACCACATTTTCTCGGACGCCCCTAAAAAATTCAGTGAAACAATTTGCCTTCAAAGGTCTCTTAGTTAGCAAATAGACTAACTATTTACTGCTGTGTGTAATTTAATTCCTGCTTGAATTCAGATGAAATACTTTCTTTCCACTTCACAACTTTGCACTGCTTTGTGTTGGCCGATCACATGAAATACCATTAAATTGCAACAAAGCTCGTAGTTGTAAGGTGACAAAATGTGAAAATGTTTGAACACTTTTGCAAGGCACTACATTTTTGCAAGGCACTACATTGCCCGTCCATGTGGCTTTAAAGACTGTTTAAAAACCTTCACCACTTTTGAAATGTATGTCTTTAATTATTGATAAACATTTCTGTTTGAAAAGGGCTGAAAACTCTTGGAAATCTGAACCCAGTTGATTTCCACTCAGACTGAAACTACGTTTTCTCATCCTCTTTGTTTTTCAGAGTAATGCAAGGCCTCAAGCATGGATGATTTGGATCACAGTATTTACATTGCAGAGAATGACTGGAGTAGCTTCTACGACGAGAGCGAGGAATGTAATCTGCTGCAGGCCTCGCTTGCCTACCCCGATGATTCCAGCCCCAGCGACTCGGAGGAATCAGGAAGCCTCAAAACAGGCAAACAGGAGACAAACGGGAGTGCAGATAGCAACACCGCCGAGGAGAGTTGCACAGGTGGCATACAACTACTAGAGCAGCTCTTTCAAAGTGATGCAACATGTATGAAACAGGGGGAAATAGGTGTCAACTGTCCAGAAAGAAACACAATCTCCACAAAGTCTGCACACAAAGATGTCGCACAAGAAATTCTGGTCAAGACGAGTGACAGCCACGCTAACACGCCGCAAACAAATCCACTGAGCAATTACAATTCAGAAGGGAGAGGAATGTTGTCAAGAGATGGAGTCGCACAAATGACAAGTGACCTCAAATCCAGCAAGAAACCTGACCTACTTTCCAGCAAACAAGCGGCGCCGAGTGTGAGCGAGCCAGACGCCACAGGCAGAGCGGAGAAGGAGCGCTGGTTTGTGACTGTGAATGACAGTGTGGCAGGGCGGCGAGGGCGTTCTACCTCTGTCAAAAAAAAACTCAAACAAAACAAACCTGGTGAGGGAGAAAATGCTCAAAGTTCTGATATCAAACGAGAGCGTGAACAATCAGGAGGTATTCAGTTGAAGCAAAATAAAGAACCTGGAGATTTACAAGGAGAACTGCTTATTTCTGAGTCTGCTGCAGCGATGAACAGAGACAAATGGGAGCCAGGGGGCTCAGCGCACACATCCTTTGACAGCTTTTCTCCTTCACCGACAGCGTTGGAGTGCTTGCAGAGTTCAGAGCTTCAATATGGTGCTGAATTTTCCTCCACTGGCAGCTGGGATTCTGACAGCTATTTGTCAGCTGTTGAATCGGTGGAGGAAGCTCAGCATCCTCTTGAAGAGCATCTCATTAAACACCTTCCTCTGGAATGCCCATTATCCCCAACATGTGACAACCAAAACGTCAGCTTGACTCTCTCCAGTGATGCAACAGCAGCAAATTATGATGGTTATGCCACTCTGGAGCACCTTTTCACTCCTCCATCTCCAGAAATACCAGCTGAAAACTTAATTTATGGAAATGTCGCATGTTCTGAAACCCACCCACCACCTTCACCATCTGGTGGCTCCCAGAAGGATCCAGATTCAACTCAGTCACGTTGCTCTGCAGCAGACAGCCCAGAAACATTTGCCAAAGCTGCAGGGCAGACTCAGCCAGTGTATGCAATCTCTGCGTTCTGGGATGAAGTAGAAAAACTGACTATAAACGATATTTTGCAGATCAGAATGGGGAGACGCTGTCAATTAACAGAAGAAACAGCAGGCGGCCTTCCTGCAGACCCCAGCCAAGTTGATCCTCTTGATAACTCAATGATGGATACATCTGACGCCGCAGACTCCGACTACTTCACACAGCCAGATGAATCCAAGCGCGATTGGTCAGTCTGTGAGTTTTCAACCTCAGATTTTGAGGAAGAGTCCTGGCAGTTTGCTAATTTAAGTAAAAACTCTAGCCCTGACCTTCAAAACAAATTTCAACAAAATGACTTTTGTCTTTTGTTAGACACTGATTATGAACAAAGAGAAACCCCTGTTGCTCTAGACCAAAGTCTTGACTGTCAAGACTTCCAAAATATGACCTCCTGCCCAAGAAGGCTGACAAAAAGCAGAAGTATGTACAACGTACAGGCTCTCGCCACAGAGGACGTAGCTCCACTACCTTCTCTTAGTATTGACCAGAACAATTTGCCTCTTAGTGCTGCTCAACCTCTGGGGGCATTTTTATCCCACACAGACTTACAGGATTATAGAATATCCTTCCCGGAAATCTTTGAGTATTTTTTCACAGAATATGACGACAGCACACCATCACACTTTCTCTCTGTTCGTGATCCTGAAGAGATATTCGTATCTCGTGTCTTTCACTCTCCTCTCTGTACATTCAGAGAAGATCCATGGACCTCTCCTTTTCAGTGTAGCACAGAGACACCCATCCCAATCTTCTCTTGCTCTCGTCCTGCTGTCCAAGACCTCACATTCCCAAATTTGCATGTTTTCCTGAGCACAGACTGTGAGCAAGTGGACAAAGTGTCTCCAATGAGACTCATGTCTCATTCGTTTTTTCACGCCAGTCCGCACAGATCCTCAGGAGCTGCAGGTGCGGGTGGATCCGACAGTTGGAAAAGTTTTCTGTCTTTGAGGAAAATTCGCTTTCCAGACAAAGGCAGCATCTGCTGCAGCGAGTCAGGCGCCTGGATTTTTCCTGTTGACACTAAAGAGATCCGGACGGGGAGTCAGAATCAGGCAGTAACATCATTCAGTGGGAGGAGAGCTTGTCTGGATTTTTCTCAGGAGTTCAGAGGGCTGGAAGAGCAAAGCTGGATTTCGGAAACTATATGGACATCAAGTAAGTCCCAGCATGCAACGCTGTCATTAAAAGCACGTTATGTCAGTTGCTTTGAATTTTTTTTTTTTTTTTTTGTAAGAAGCATCATTTCCATAAATACCAGGATTTCCATGAACTCACATATAAAAGAAATTTAATTCCATAACATTTTCAGTTTCCTGAAATGTTTCAAAACACACACACACACACAAAACAACTGATTCAATCTATGACTGAATTAGATCAGTTAAATCCAGTCATATTTAAAGATTATAAAATGGCACAGACACATTAAGTGCTTGCAAAAAGTTAGGGAATTTTGACCTTTGGGTGAAAATTGTGGATGTAGTGAACTGTTCATGCTGAAGTGATAATACACTGCAAAACTTTAGGATTAGAGTGAAAGTGTGCCAGTTTTTTCTTTTATTTCAAACATTTTCATGGGGAAAAAACCCCATGAAAGCCCAACATTTTTAATGGTCTGGCGTAACTCTGGTGCTTCGTTTCCCTTATGTGCATCTGGAGTTCAGTGCCATTGAACATCCGGTTCACTATTAATCTGTCATCAGCATGGGATGTGGCCAAAGGATTTCCACTGCTACGACTTTTCCAGTCTCTCTGTTGCAACCTGCTAACACTCTGACAGTCATTATGAAATATTTCACAATGAACAAATAGCAATGTTTCTGCAATGAAATTGACAAACGAGACGAAAACAAAACAACACAGCAGGTCAATCTGTTCAAATCACCGACACATAAATAAACTCTTGAGAAAATTTTAAAGCTTATTCTGAAATTTCACCAAGACCAGTTCGGTTGGCCTTGGTGAACTGGAGGCAGAATTATACCTCATAATGCCCAGTTTGGAAAAATAAACAGGAAGTCCTTAGAATTAGAAACTTCAAGTGGAAATTTGAAGGTTCACGTCCACCCTGATCTCAAAGTCTAATTTGGCTGCTACCACATAAATTACAGTAATATAGACGTTATTTTAATTTAAATATTTCCAAATGAGTACACAAGCTGTTAGTTAACATATTTCTGTGGTGTCTGAATGTGAACGAGAAATACATCGTAATTAGCTTTCTTTGCCAATTTTGAGCCTGGCTTCGGAGCATGCTAATAGTTTTCCAGATTGCAACCGGAACCATGTGAACTTGGAGGTATTGTTGTTCCTGTACCCAATTTCTCACATCAGAGACTAAAAAAAGAACATAACATGGAGTTTTGGAATTATTTAACAAGTGTTAAACAATTAATTTATTAAAGGTTTGAAGATTTATTCAACCTTGTTATTTCACCTTTGTAGTTTGTTTTTTTTAAATCTTGAACTTGTTTGCTTTTAAGTTAATTTGTCCAGAATAAACATCACATTATGAGGAAAAGGTTTTGAAATGGTTGATCATACACTTTTGCATTGCTAACACCTGGCTTGGTTAACAGGGTTTTGCACACTTTTGAGAGTCACAGTATACAATACAATAACACATCAATTCCATAATGTCACATTTAACGAGAATAAAGTAATTTTCAAATCTCCAATTGATTGGTTTGCATTTCACACATGACGAATCTCTCTTTAAAAGTCTATTTTGTTCCTCTGACAGGGAGAGAAGGCCTCTTCTCCAGAGTGAAGCAGTCAGACATGTGTTTAGTCTGCATTGCTTTTGCCTCTTGGGTGCTGAGATCTTCTGATACAGAGGCTGCAGACGCCTGGAAAGCAGGTATGAACCATCTGCTTTGTCATTCTAACAACGGACAACTAAATGCTATTAAAGAATAACATTTAGCTGAGATAAAATCATTTTCTAATACAATAGTATCTACCTATTTGTTACATTTTTCTTGATTTTACTGTTTAATGGCTGCACTGTTATTCTGAGGCACATTGACACAACCTGCAGAACTAAAACACAGTCATACCCAACAAGCCACTTTTGCAGCTGAAAAACAATCTAAAGCAAACACTGAAATTTTCAAGGTATTCAGGCTGCAAAAATTTTAATTAGAAGATAAACGCAGGGATGGATGTCAAACTAAATTAACACTTTTATACTATTGTTCAGCTCTTCTAGCGAACGTGAGTGCACTGTCTGCAATTCAGTACCTGCGGCAGTACACGAAGATGAAGAACCCTCCCAGAGACGACCTCTGACGGGAACACAAACAAGAAGAAACTGTAAACATTCTCACTTGGGTCCATGTCGATTAAAAACACAGAAAACATTCGCAGTCAGCTGCACAGTAGCTGGAGGTTGGTGGTGTAGAAAGGAGGAGTCTGTGTCGTTCTTTGTACCCCCCCATAATGCTAAACAAACGAGCCAAATAATCAGTTTTAACTACAAGCAGGATTCAGTAAATAATCTGAATTAGTATTTAATGACTGACCAGTGCCGGCAATACATCTCTGCTCAAAATAACATAAATGTGTTTAAAAAACAGTCTGCAAAGCTCCAAAATCTATTCCAAGTCAAAACATGAAGGAAATATTCTATGTGTTGTTGAAATAATTATATTTTTAACAGAGACATAATCAAAGTTTGAGCTTTTATCTGAATCACTAAACTAATATTTCCCTTTATAAACAGTTTCTGAGAGCTGCTTCACATCTGCATTGACCAACTTTTGTCACCTGTGAGCATCTTGCTATTGCTCTGTATTTCTTGGTATTAACACAGGAAATACACATCTGATGTCACCCCACACATTTTCCACGGGACTAAAGGCCTGATTGCTTCATAAAACTGATCTTGTGGGTCTGAAACCACAATGCTGCTTGCTTGCTGATGTGTTTGGGATCACTGTCTTGTTGAACACCCTTGAGTATTTGTTCTTTGACAAAAGGCAATACTTCTTCATAATCTCTAATGAATTCAAACTAATCCACAATCCTTTGTATGCAACAAATAGGCCCAAAACCATAGCATCAGAAATATAATTTTACAATATTTGCAACAACACTTTCCATATTATATTTAACATGGCCAGAGCTGTCACCTTATTTTCTTTAAACATATTATTGGTCGTTAGTACATACAGTTGTAACGGTTTTGTTGCTGGATGTGTAATAAAAATCAGTTCAATTGTTGTCTCAATACCTTCTTGTTAAAAAAAAAGATTTTCCACATGTACCTGACCTCTGTGACTATTACCGCAATAAAATGTCACTCAACCAAATGACTGGGCCCTGAGGAGCTGGTTTACTGATGATGAGGAAATCCAACTATTTGATTCAGGTGTGTTGAAGCAAGAATGCATGTAAAGGATGCAGGACGGTAGCCTGGGACACAACTGTTGTACAATAATTTGTGATCTGATGAATCACAAATGATCAGATCACAAATTGTGAAAAACTATTTTTGTTCCACACAAAAAAAAAAGTTTTTGTGAACTTTTAGTCCACAAAAAATAATATTGTCCATCACCGTCTCACTGTGTTTGCAGTAAAACATGGCGGTGGCGGCATCATGGTGTGGGGTTATTTTTCTTCAGGAGAAACGAGGGATTTGTTGGGGTGGATGAAATGACTGAGTTACAAATTGAAGATGGCAGCGTCTCATTTTTGAGTTATTTTTGCTTTTTGTGAAAACTAAATCTATTGATCATGCTTCATATCTGAAGAAGTCAGATGTTTTATTTAATAAGTACCATAAATAAGCAATAGTATTGCTTTACTGTAAGAAAGTAAGATTTTAAATCTGGTAAGTTAATATGTGCCGTGAACAGAGAGAGGGTTAAGTTGATGTAAACATGATGATAAACTCTCTCAAATATAACAGCATCAGTACAAGCAGGCATGCAATTGTTTTGTCAGTTGTCATTTCACAATTACTTTTTCAGTTGAATTGTAGATATATATTACACTACAAAGGTGAAAAATGTTATGTGACAATTTATTCTGGTCTCATTAAATAACATTATAAAACCTGGGGTTTTAAAACCTTTATTAGTTATGTGCCATATATACTCAATAAAAAATATATGAAAGTTGCATTTTATTGAAGTTTAAACAAATGATTCACTTCATAAGCATCATTGATGCCTTGGAGACAAAAATGACAAGAAAATTGTGTCACTGGAGAAATATTTATTGAAATAAATATGGTATGGATACAGATTGATATATATCACATAAATACTGAGATTAGGCAGTATTTTATTTTTATTTTTTTTTTTAGAAAAACTCCACCCAAATGTTTAAGATTTAGTTTCTATCCAGCTGTGACATTTTCAGGAAAACAATGTAAATAGATTCTCCTAATAAAACCTTCTGTCAGTAAACAGACAGGCAGGTTATGGTCCAAGTATTTAGCACACCTTATAGCACTACCTTAGGATTTTATTGTTCTCATGCTGAATCAAGTGTTTACATTTACTGATATATCAATAATACTCGGTCATATAGATTATTGTGAACATGTAGTATTTACATTCTCAAAAATGAGCTTCGGTTATACTGTGAAAAGATATATTGATATATAAAAATTTAGGATTTAAAGATACATTTCATCTTATTTAGGATTAAATCCAGTCCCCTACGGTGCTTTTAAAGCCTACCAACACAATACAACTTCGTTCTACTATCTCAGTGGAAAAACTGAAGGGTGAGTCATGCTGGGTCATATCTATCATACACACACAGATTTAAACATTATTCTGTACAGGAACTCTATTAGAAACAATAAACATATTTAAAGTCAACACCAAAATCGGTCTTTTTTCATCATTCTTTAGCAAACTCATATGACTGCATAAGAAACAGTTTAATAGTTGGTTAGAAAGGAAACCTGTCACTTTAAGTCCCAGATGGTGGCACTGTTCATTAATTGGATGAGAAAACTAGTGTATATTCTTAAGGAAAATCTAAGGGTTTCATGATGCGCAGAACACGAAACACACTTTTGAGTTCCACCACTATTCTTCTAAAATTTGTCAACACAAACAAACAGAAGACGCCACACAAAAATACGTTTAGAGTGTTAAAAGTACACAGTATTGATCTGTTGGAGCTCAGAGCATGCACCACCTCAAGACGGCTTGTCACCTTCTTTCTTCAGGCGGCTTCAAAAGTTAAAAACAGAGTCGCAATTTACTTAAAATCTACAGAATACTTTTCAGTCCAAACAGTGAGAAAAAACAAAAAACTTACTCTTACTCTGGTGCTTGTACAAAAGTAGAGTTATCCAAATTAAAGGTGATCAATGCATTATAAGCCTGGTGGGCCAACAGGCTTTACTTTTGTCCCCACCAGGCTAAGCATTGCTTATTTATTTAAGTCTTTTTAAAATGTTTGCATTTTTTAATACTTCTATATAGCTGGTGTTCAGGTATTAATCTTCCAATATTTCATTAAAATAATTATCAAGTGATATTTTCAAATTTCCTGTCAACTTTAAACATTTTTAACTCAAAACCATGACAGGCTGCTGGTTGAATGACTGCCCTAGCGCCCATTCACCAGGCTTTTCTGGGGGAAACTTTGGGTGATATTTCAAGTAGAGCTGAAACGATTAATCTAATCATGAAGAATCGATTACTGAAATAATTGTGATTTAGTGATCAATTACTTGCTTACTGCAGTATACAACCTCAAAAGGGCCATTTGCAGGAGGAACACCATAAGAAGAACAATAATTAAGTTAAAACTGAACAAAAATATAAACATTTTGCACTTGAGAAAATTAAAACCCTTTTGCTTCACCTGGTTCAAACTCTGTAAAAGAAAAAGGTTGAGGTTTTCACATCTGGATGTTAGAAGTACCTCTTGTAGCTGCAGATGATCCATGCAAAAAATTGAAATATGTTATTGAATTTTATGCAACAAAATATTTATTTTTCATTAATTATGAATCAGCAGAATGTGCTATTTTTTCATTAGATTGTTAAAATAATCAATAGAAAATTGATGACCAAGATAAGAATTTTTTGAAACACTAATTCTGAGCATTTTGATATTTATGGTTTCCAGGTAATAAAAACATCAAGTGATGTTTATTCAGAAGGTTAGAATATCAAGGGAACACAGGCTGATCTCCTCTTTGCTACATCACTGTAATTCATGTATAACCATGTTCTGAGTCTATATACTGTACATGGACAGAGTTTCACTTGTTGAATTAAATTACAGGAATAAAGAATCTTATTATCATTCAGTGAAATGTATCTATAAATTAAGTGGCGTAACATTAAGGATTTTTGATGGTATAAAATCAAAAATGCTCACTGTTTAAAAATGCTCACCTGTAATAATCTTCCTGACTTGGCAGAGGGCCCCCATGCAGGTGATGCCACTGCTGCTCCATTGCCATCCGCTGCAGCTCTGCAGACTGAGCATGCATGGCCTGGAGCTGATGTGAGGCAGACATGTGAGGAATCGGTCCCTGAAGTTCTCGAGGATATGCAGCTCCTGGAAAAAAATTCAGTAAAAACATTAATTCAAACCAGAAGAGCAAGGGCTGCAGAAGAAGGTGAAATCACGAACCAAATAGCGGATGGCGCAGCATCTCATGATCATGAGGAAGATCAGCGAGTAAGGGGTTTGGGATTGGGCCACCAGGGAAGGGGAATCGAGCCAAACGTGGTCCGGCGGCCAGTGGGTCGACCAGAGGATGAGGACTCGAACCTGAACGAGGGTCACACATGAAAAGAACTAAGTTTCAAACCTTCGGACAGAAAAAGTGCCAACAACTTGACCTCACCTTGACCGAGGGGGTCCTGCTGGTGGAGGTGCAGGTGGGAATGAATGTGAGAGTGCTGGTGATGATGAGGGGTGACATTGAGCATCTGCAGCCGGGCGGCTGGATCAGTTGCCACAGAGGCCATCCTCTCAGCATGAAGCCGCTCTGCAGTCAGCCTCTCGGCATAACTCAGCTCTGGGCGCATCTGAGGCCCAGCCAGCGCCAGCCTCTCACGCTCCAGGTGGCTCAGCCCTGGATGGAAGGGGGCAAAAGGGTGGGACGGTCCTGGTAGGTGGGGCAGAGCCAGCGCCCCGTGTCTAGCGAAATGCTCCAGGTGGTTGGCTGATGGGTGAAGGGTTTCCAGGTCTGGGGGTTTGACCTCAAAGCCAGGCTTCATTCGTTCGCGCAGCTCCCGCTCCCTGAAGTTCCTGAGTTCCCGCTCTCGGAGGCCGGGGTCCGTGCTGTACAGGCCGGGCATGTGATAGGCCAGCAGGGGGTCGCCTGGGCTCAGCGAGACGTAGAACGGATGGTTGCGGTTGGAGGGGGACATGACGTGGGGCCGAGCATAGTCGTTCAGGCTGCGCATGGCCGGTGTGTCGGGGCCGATGTACGGGGGCACGGCCGCCACAGTGGTGGGGGGCTGGTCAAAGGAGGGCCGGCCGTGGATCTGAGCCGTCATCTGCACTTCACTCAGGCGACTGTCATGGGAAGAGCTGGACGCCCTCTGAAAAAAATAGAGAAATGTTTATATTACAAATTAAACCCGACAGCAATGAGACTTCTGTGTGTTTACGTCCTCAAAGTGACCCCCAAATGCAAAGAAGAACAATTTTAACGTTTATTCAGCAACAGGAACAGACAGTATCATCACAAGAAAGAACTAATAGAGATGGGCTTTTGTGAAGCATTGATGAAAGTTCTGTAGGGAAGGCTGGACTGATGTGTAGTCAGAGCCAGTAGTGGTGAGCCTGTAATGTGATACACTTCACTAACAGTGATTTTCAGCCATTGTTTACACCCTGATTTACTGCATCTGGCTTTATCTGGAATTATGACGCCAGTAACAAAAAAGCTGGATAAAATGCGACATGACAATTCAAACTTCAGACGCTCTGAAAACAATTGGATGCATATCGGAATTAGTACCAAGTATGGAATTAGCACAGATCGGAATTTTGGGGGGGTAAAAAAATTGGAATTGGGCCGATCAGATTGATCTGAAAAAGCCAAATATAGGTTGCATTTGCTAACTTACAGAGTTTCTATCCGTCTCTCTCTCCCGCTCTCTGTCTTTCTCTCTCTCACGTTCCTGCCGCACGCTGAGCTCAGCCTCCCTCCTCATCCTTTCTACAGCCTCCTCCCGTTTCTTGGCCAGCTTGGAGGAAGACAGTGGAGTAAAGAAAAGATCCGTCCTCGCACAGGAGTTGTAGCCTCGATCCAAGTGTTTTATAAACCTTCAAGACAAAGCAACAGATTTAATGAGCACACAGCATCAGTCTATTTTTTCTAAAGCATTAAAGAAGACCTATTATACAAAATTCACATTTTGTACATTTATACTTCCATTTGGGTCTCAACTGTGTCTAAAAGCAGCTCAAGCATTTAAAAAAAGATCCAGCAGTTTTTTGGCAATAACTTAATGTAATTTGGTGTCTGTAAACTCATAAACCTCCCATTTGTTTAGTCTCTTTCGATGAGCATTGTGCCACCACCTAGCAACCCAAGTAGAGCTCAAGCACATTTGGCAAAGACAATGATTTTGTGAAAAAGATGTAATGAACATCCTAACAGGTTAGAATAGGACTAACTGTTCAAATATGCATAATGCCTGCAACAGTTTCCCCCCACATGTATTTTATGAGACAAAGCTGCATTGTTTTTCTCAGTTTACAGAATGATTTAGAACATACCTCGCAGACTGACTGGCGTGGCTTGCCATGTTGACAACAGTGGGCTCTGGTGAGGGGCTTCGGGGAGGAGACGGCGGGCTCTCCGGCTCCTCCACTTCATCCAGCGGCTCTTCTTTAATCTGAATTTGAGATCCTCCGGCAGCAGAGTTTGGAGAGGGTCTGGGTGGGAGCGGTGGGAAGGACGGCTGCAGGGTCGGAACTGGGCCGGCAGTGGAAGATGTGAGAGGGAGCGGAGCCGGAGCCGCTGGGAGGGATGAGGTCCCACTTTTCCCAGGGTGGCTCTGCACCTGAGACGACACTGGAAGTTGGGATGGAGCCGAGTGTGGAGGCAAAGGATGAGGCATGAGCTGCAGAGGAGGGGGAGGGGCGCCTGGAGGATGCTGGTTGGGGAGAGAGTTGAGGGGCTTCAGAGCAGGAGGTGGTGGGAGGTTAGAGGGCATCTGGGGAAAAGGTGCTGCAGATGGGTGAGGCAGCTGTTTGTGTGACGGTGGGATTGGGGTTGTAGGAGGGGGCTTGACTTGAGGTGGGTGCGGCAGCTGAGCATCCCTAAAGAAGGGCACAGAGCGCGGCGGAGTGTGAGGGGGGGAACCGTTCGGCTGCGGGGGCTGCGTGGAGCCGAGAGCAGGTGAGAAGTGTGACGCAGGAGCGAGAGGCGTGTCCAGATCCAGCGCTGCTGGCTGTGGCCTTGGACCAGGCGCCAGAGTTGCTCGGCACCCTGGGCCGGCTGTCGCAGGGGATTGAGCAGCTCCACCCTGTGGAGGGTCGGCAGAGGATGAAGGGGGGTTCTGAGCCAGGTCAGCAGAGGCTGGGCTTTGTGTCGGTTGAGGAGGAATGGGAGGGTCCTGAGAGGGAACGGCTTGGAGGAGCGGGGCGTCCGTCAGAGTCGCAGCACCAGCCTCAGCTGTGGCCCCGCTGGGCTGGGCAGAAGAGTCCGAGTCGCTCTCGTTCCCCTGTTGAGGGCTGGGAATGCTGGGAGAGGAGCTGCGGTTGTCCTGGTCGATGTCTTTGGCGTCACTGCAGTCGTCCTGAGCGCTGCGGCTTTCTGACGAGCTTTCTTCTTCTGCCTCTCCCTCTGACCGGGACCCGCCTCGTGGGTCCTTCAAGAACAAAAACTTGATTCATATCACAGAACAAAACATCAAAGCAAAAGTCCATGTAAGGTTAAAATATCTCCTCTCATCTAACAGCTTCAAGGGAAGGCGGCGTTCTGATCAACCAATCAGATGCAAACCAGGGAAGCAAGTCAAGTCAACTCTGACAGTCAGGAAATTGTGTCTAATATTTTCTTTGCTATATTCTTTAGACAAGAGAGACATGAACGTAAACAAACCATCTGTATTGGTCACATGCATCAAACTCAAGGCCTGGAGGCCAGATCCGGCCCACCACAACTATGTATGTGGCCCTCTAGACTCTAGAGCCACATAAATAGTACCATTCAGTTAATAATTGTGTGCTTAAATATTGTTTTATCAATCAAATAGGTTTTTAACAAAATACTGCCAAATTACATCAATTTTAAAAATTGTCCCGTATTTAAGTCATTGGACTCTGAGACAGCTATGAAGGAATATCTTAACAATTAGTTAATAGGAGTTTTTTAATGCGTTCTGCTACAATTGAGAAGGAAGGCAGGAAGGAAGGATAGAAGGAAAGACTGTCAGAAGGACAGATGGATAAATAGAACATGAAAGGTTATAATATTTAGATAGTGGAATTAGGGAATAATGAGTTAATATATAAATATTTTTTACATCCTGTTATTTCCCTGCTTATCCAGACCTGAAAAATCCTGAAATTAAATTTCTTGAACCTGATCTCCAGCTTGGCATAATTTGTTCTGCTGATGATGACATGGTCCGGAATGGGGAACGTCGTGGTGAGAAAATTAAATTAATCATTCAAACATTAATCCGCCCTGATATGCATCAAGGGTGCTGTGAAGACATCATTTGTCGTGATAGTGTAATTTCTTATCAGTAGTTAAACTGAATGACTTTCTGTGCTTATCTGACTGAACTACAGATTCAGGCCATTCCAACGAGCCTGTAACCATCTCATTGTTTCCTGTAGTTAATAGAATAAATTTGAAGTGTTAAATGTCTTGATCTGGTGTGTTCCGTGCGCTCCAGAATTTACTTGTGGAAGTATTTCACCTGTGCCTTTGGCCTTTTAGGCGTCATCTTTTCAGGTTCATCAGACTCCAGAGCAGGACTTTCCCTCACACGTTTTGCTGTCTTTGGCGCCGTTACCTCCTCTTTTATTTTCTGCACAAAAAGAAAAATTACACATAATTACACCAGTGTTGTCAAAGAGTCTTCACTGCTAGTTCTTACTCTCATAAAACACACCCTCTCAGATTAAAGAAGTGTCTAAGCAACCTCTGTAACTTTATTTAAAAACACAATAATACAAGTTTTACAAAAGAAACAAACTGTTAAATCAGCTTATTTCTCTTTCAAAATGGTGATATGTGGATAAGTTTATTATTTGGTGATAACAACACGATGCTCACCTTGTTTATTTTTTTGGTGGAGTCATTTTTATGATCTGCAGAGGATCTTAAGGAACTAGAGATTCCTCCAGTTGGGAAGTTCTGGTTACCAGACTGTGACTCCTCTGTGTTTGGAGAGCCACTGAACCTCCTGAGGCCACTTCTTAACGATGTCAGCTGCTTTAAAACACAACAAACAGTAATTATTGTTTCAAACAACAGCTGAAGCCAGATGACTTACAAAATGTTGTTTTTTTTTCTGTATGAAAAATATTTGTTATTATAAAGCCTAAATTGTCCTGGGCTTCAGTTGTGAGTCAATATGAAGACAAGAGCTTACAGGTGCTCTGCTCTGCCGAGTCCTCATGCCATGCTTGTTGTTCACCTCTTCTTCCCCTTTCACAGGTTTGAACATAAAGGAAGCGTTCCCAGATTTAGAAGCAGGCGGCAGACATCCGTGTTTGTTTTCGTACGTGCGGCAAGTTGTGCAGAGCAGAGAGTTGTCTCTCCCGACCTGGTGCCAATCCTTAGAAGCTGTTCAATCAACAATGGCTTTAGATGCAAGTTTCAGAAGCTGGCTAAAGCTCTTTTCTTCTGCTGAAGAACCTACTTGTTGATCCACAGTGGCTGCAGCTCTTTGTTTCCTGTTCGCTGTCTTCACTGTCGACATCATCCTCGCTGGCAGAACTGGCCTCAACTGAAGAGGATAAGCGTCACGTTTGAAAATTCAGGAACATTTTGAGATCGAATTTGTTCCTCTCCATTCAACAGAAAGCGTCAAATAAAAAATAGTTGAGAAGACTGATTACAGGCTTCAATATCACTGGTTTTGGGCTTTTTCAAAACATCTTTGAGCAGTGTGATATATGATGAGACAACAAATAACTTTAATGAGGGTTACCAAATAAAATTTGGTTAAAAAGTATGAAGTCATGATAAATTTTCTCTAAAAATGTTCAAACTTTACTTTACAGTTCCAGTTATATGAGTATACACCTTCAAAATGTAGTTTACATTTCCAAACTAAACTGGAGAGAAAACCTATTTTGTAGCCATTAACAAGGTAATTCTTTTCTTGCTCAAGTCTTTGTGAATGCTTTGACTGTGAGGTTTAGAGAAAATCAACAGGAGATATGAAATAAACCTAAGTTGTTATATAATACAAGAAATAAAAAACAAACAGTCAAATTTGTCTTGATCTTTAATCCCTGTGATTAATGTATGCAAACTTCTCACCGGCACAGCAAAACCAGAAAGTGAAACTGACCTGAATAGTTTCGAGATGGAGGGTTGACAGTCGCCGCTGCGGATCGAGTTTTCGCTTTGCGAGAGGACGGCTGCCGGCGTTGCTGTCGATAAGCTCTGGTCCCGGCGGCCTCTGGGGTTTTCTTCCAGTGGTAATAAAATGTGATCAACTCTCCCTGATAACAAACATGATTATTATTAAAACATTGTAATCATTATTCACCAATCAGTGACAAAGGGAAAACATGTAATGTATGCCAAGAAACTAATCCAAACCACACACACACACACACACACACACACACACACACACACACACCACACACACACACACACACACACACACACACACACACACACACACACCACACACACACACACACACACACCCACACACTTACAGTCTTCTTGCTGGGGAGAAAGTCTTTCCGGATGCGAAAAAAATTCTTTCCATACTGTCTCAGACCTTTGATGAACCGTTTCTAGAAGACAAACAGAAAAAATTTGAAATTAAATCAACTTCCTCAATGAATCACTTATCTGAATGGAAATGATATTGAGTTGATTCTGACGACAGAATCAAACCAATTAATTTAAAAAAATATTACAATAAGGATTGCATTAGTTTAACATTTTAAATAAATGCAAAAAATATTTTGAATATTAATACAGTTCAACATCCAATAGAACTACTATTATTAATGTTAACTGTTATCCGGTAGCTATAGAAGTCTGAAATTTTAATTACAAAGTATCTTAAGTAAGATTATTGCTTAATTAATAGTTTATCAAATGTCTGTAGGGTTGAAAGAAAGCAAGTGCCTGTCATGGGTGAGAGCCAGGCTTGAGTTTGGACGGGACGCACGTCCATCAAGGGGACACACACATTACAAGAAACCATGCACACTCACACTCTCACACCTTAGGACAGTTCAGATATATTAACTTTACGGTTGTGTTTTTTGGCAGAGATAGGAAACTGGAGTACCCAGAGAGACCCCATGCATGTGCAGGGAGAATAAGTCTTGGGATTCAAGCCCAAGACTTTCTCCCTGCAAGAAAATCTCTAAAATTGAACCATTTCAAAAAGTCGTCTCACCACATCATCTTCTGACCAGCATTTTTCAATCAGTTTGGGTAGTGGCCTCTTGACCAGACGCTGCAGAGCTTTGGCTGCATCATAATGGCTTGCATGGAGCTAAAATTGAGATGGGAACAATGTTGACATATTTTTTTGCATATCTGCACTGAAATCACATCATTTTACAAAGTTACACAATACAAAGTTTGCTCCGCACCATGTTGAGAGCGTTCAGCGTTGTATCATCACGGGAAGCTGCCAAACACCCATCCTCTGTGGATCCGCCGTCACACATCCCTGCAAATGCTGCCATGCTCCTAAAAAAAGGGTCGAAATTATGAAATATTGTGTGAAATGCATCTTAGGTTGAACATGAAAGCAATAAAGGTGCACTAAGAGGACTTCTGACCTGGCTGCTCTGAGGTACATCAGAAGGTCACAGTCATTGACTCCAGGTGTCCACATGAGCTCCTCATTGTCTATCTGGGTCTGTGCACTAGGTGCTGGTCGTGGCTGCAGCTCTGGGAGCTTGGCCTGCAGGACAAACAAAAAGTGAACTGAAAGAGCTCCGACACTTAAAAGGAAATAAAACTAAAAACCAACATTATTTGACGTTTCAACAGCAAGCAGAAAACTTGGGAAGGCGTTACTGGAACATATTCGGAGATTGTGTCTGACTGTATTGAATAAAAATGATACAAAAGAAGCTCATTACACTCGCTTGTGTCCAGCTCTTTCAGTCATGGCCGATAAGGGTCAGCACCAAAGTACTAAGAGGAAATACTTAGAAAAAAATGAAAACTCAAAACAGCTAGAAACCCAGTTGAGACTGGAACCCAGCATGTTCTTACTGGAAGGGAGCAGCGCTAAAGGCTGCAACAATGTGTTGCATAATAGATTTTATATTGGATAATAGATTCCATAAGATGCTGAAGACATTTATGGTAGTTGCCTTGTGGTGCAAATGTACTGTTATCATTTAAAGCGCATTGTTAATAAGAGAAGCAGATTTCTATACTTAAAATTTGTACTACAACCATTTTCTATTAAAATGTACAGATTCTAAATGTGTTTGTCTGGAGTCCCTGCAGGGATACACAGCACAGAAGGGAAGATCTGTTAACAAAACAACTACTGATCTTTCATCTTACAAACTGTCTCTGAATGGAAGGGTGGCAAGAAGAAAGTTAGTGTTCAAAGAAAGCCACAGGAAGTTGTGTTCACCACAAAACAAGTAAGGAAACAAAGCAAAAATGTGCAAGAGTGAAACCAACTTTTTGGAACACATGCATAATGTTATGAGTTATGAAAAACTTAAACTGCACATCACCCTGAACACGCTGTAAAACATAGTAATGGTGGCATCATCCTGTTAAGATTTTTTTATTATTATTACTTCTGAAGGGAAAGGGAAATGGATTGAGCCAAATGCTACGCAATTTTAAAGGAAACCTCCGGGACTGAAAATATTTTAAAACTTGAAACTGGAACAGAGGTTTCCCTCCCGACATGACAACAGACCCGGATATACATTTTCATAAGTGTATATAAGTTCTGACCTAAATCAATTTGACAAATTGTCCAGTTTTTGCAATGTACAGTATGATGCATGTAAATGATAATATCTGAGCAGATTGCTCAGCTTTGAAAAGCTTCGTTCCTCCAACTTTGCAACAGTAATGAATGCACCTGCAAAAGAGGCCTCAGAGGCTATTCTTACATAATCTTACACCTGAAATACTTTCAATCATCTTTTTATAACCACTGAATAAGCTGTTATATTTCAATCAAATTTACCTGGTGACTTGGTCCCACTCTTATTTCACCTTGTGTGCTGTTCAGGCTCCTAAAATAAAACACAAATTCAACTTACAACAGCATTTTAAAAGTATATGAAATGATTTCTATGTAACAGAAACTGAGTGAAAGCATATCTGATAGGTGCTTTTGTATACAGTATGTACAGACAAACAGTGTGATCTAATAAGCCTCCTGTATCATCTGAGGCTTTCCTCCCATCGCCTGGCACTGATTTCAGTCACAGATCATCATCCCGCCCCTCGCTCCTGCGATCCAATCTCAGCTCACAGTTTCTTCTATTACATGAATGAAATCCGACTCCACAGCGGCTGCAAAACACTGTCAATCAATCACGCATAAGCTGCTAATTTTTACGGTCACCATTACGAGAACAGTGTGTGCTGTTCGCAGATCTTAACAAGTTGGCAGTTAAACACAATGTGTGTACCTGTTCGGTAATAAAACGGCGGCTAAAGTGCGCTATCAGTGATAAACCGTTAAGGTTAGCATCCATAAGACGTTAATGTACATTAGCAACGATCCGCAGAGATATATATGCGCTTTAGCCTCGGGGTGAATTAAGCAGCTGCTTCACTAAATGACTAAACAAGTGTTTAATCACAGAATAATTTAAATGATGCCTCGGGATATACGTGTTAGCCACATTAAAGCGAGCGAAGAGGCGTTTTCCCCAGCGGGAGCCGCTAGCTGCTAACGAGGTAACATCTAGCTTGTTAGCCAGACACGAACTTCATGACCACTGACACTCCGGCTATTAAACACGAGCGGCCCTCAAAGTAACGCCGCCGGACACGAAAAGAAGCATTTAACACGCACTGGCCACAAGCACAAGGCGAATGACAAGTTATTGAAGTTACCTGCGCGGACTGAACAGGTCGTCCATGTCGACGGATGTTTGGTTGGTTGTGGCTTGTTGACACTACGCAGCACAGTGGGCGAGACACACACACACACACACGCACACCAACTGTGCGAATCCCCTATTACATGGCTATTCAAAATGGAGGCGGTGTAGTGGAGAGACTCGCTCTATTTTTTCAGTGCATTGACCTCAACAGCCACAGCGCAGCGTTCGCGTTTAATGTACATTACTGAGCATGTGCCGCAGACGCGCTGGGCTTCATCAACACTTACTGCTGCTGTCGCTGCACAGTCAGCCATGAATCTCAACAGCTTATCGTACCGTGTGCACTGTTGCGGTCATTAACACTGTTATGCAAGACATTCCTACCACGAATACAACTGCGCTCTTAATAATGTAAGGACTGGTACTGGCGTCTTATTACACTTTGTTTGTTTTCAAAAGAAGCATTTTTATTAAACTCGAAAAAGGAAAATGAGCATTTAAACTTATTTGAATTGTAAAGTTTGGGGACACCCATAAATGTTTAAAATGCGCAACGTTTGCGTTGTGTTCTATCAAAAATGGCGCTACCTGATATAGGGTTAGAGGTGTCCAAACTGCGGCCCCTGGAGTCCATTGTGACCCCAGGACCCATGAATGGGTCTAACTTGGCCCTACGCTAAAGCTGGTTGACAGACGGTATTAATAAGGACAAACTTGAGGTTTCTGCTTGTCAGGACCTGCCTTGCAGGTCCTGACAAGCAGGTTAATCAACCTGTCTGGGAACAGCCCATTATGTTTCCTGAGAATATTTCTTATGGCCCAGGAGTGGGGTTTATTCATCACTCATAGATAAATAAATGTTATGGTGCTGGTTTCATACTGTGGTTATTTTCTTGAGTATGATTTTTTTTTTCTCACTGCTGTCTTCCTATTTGGCCAGCAGAGGATCCCATTGGCTAAATTCAGCAGCAATCTGTCTCTGACTCTGACACACTCCTTCACTGATTTAGTGTGATTTGAAAATAAGCTCCTGTTGACACCAACAGGACATTTATTGTAATTTAGTCAAAACTTATATCAGTCCTAAAACCAGAATTATCGAGCTTTTGCCGATTTCAAGACAATTCTCACTTTGCAACAACTTTTTTTTCCTTTTTTTTTTTTAGCATTTTATGCCATTAGTCTCAGAAAGATGATGAGGTCTTGCTTTCATTTGTGGATTTACAGCAGTGTTTGGGTTTTTCATGCAGTGGCTCGACCCACTGTGGAGCAACCACCTGTTCTAGGACAGATGGGCATTTTTTTTTTTTGCATTCAGGAAGATTCATGGTCAACTGACTATCACTATCTGCAAGATCATAGCTGTCTGCAAAACAACTAATAGCCATTGAACTTCAACCTTTGTGATTGATTGTTTGTGTGAGACTCTGATTGGCTGTATCATGTCACTCCGCAAAACAGCCTGAATGTTGAAAACCTCTATGACAAAAAGAGAAAAATGACACTAAATTTAATGGTATTTTTTTCACCAACAAAACTTTATTATCTTCATCTCCAAAGTGCAGATGTTTGTTGTGAAAACAGTATTGTACTACAGTCAGACCTATTATTTTTCTCATCAGAGCTTATGGCTGACACAGCTGGTAGTTTTTATTTACTGAGAGAAGGACTTCTACACATCTAATTGTTAAACTGAAGTGTTCACACACATTTTTGCATTCACCAGTAAATGTCTCATTCACTCAATCACAGGACTCCTGAAGTTTTTCCCAGCAAACTGAGCCTTATCCCCCAACTCCTCCTCAATTCTGCCAAAGAGAGGGAAAAAAGCAAGGTGTTTTAATGCAGCAAACATTAAAACATTTCTGAACTGGCTGTTAAAAATGCAGTGTTAGATATTCTAAATCATACAATAGAGGATTTTGCAAAAAAAAAAAAAATACTTATTGCTCTTTAACTCTTATAGTGTCATCATACAAAGGTAACATTGAGTGTTTTTTGTGTTTAATATGACAGACCAACTGAAAGAGAGACTCCAATAATGGTTAGTAACACTTGGTAGCACTTTTTCAAGATATTGTATTTAGAAAGATTTCAGTCTAATTCTTGTTCATTGTAGTTGTAAGCAATTATTACTACAAAAGAAGAGACTGAAATAAGTTATTTTGACCAAATAACAGAAATTATTAAGTTTTTCAATTAAACTAAAGCTCACCTCAAGATCTGGTTGTATTTAGCCAAGCGCTCAGAACGACAAGGAGCCCCCGTCTTGATCTGGAGATGATAAAATCATTTATTTGTTTATTTATTTTTTTAGTTTTAGTTCTAATTTATGTTTCCTAAACACATGATTGACTGCTGGCGACCAGCTTCAAGTCTGTAACTTATTATCCATTCCAAAAAGGTGAAAGTTCATCATAGATATTATCTGTTTGCATGAATATATGTCTATTTAAAGCCTGAACATTGCTCTGTATGTTACCTGTCCTGTGCACAGTCCGACCACCAGATCAGCTATGAAGGTGTCCTCAGTTTCCCCAGAGCGGTGGCTCACCATCACACCCCAACCGCTCTCCTGGGCCATCTTACACCTGCAGGGTGCCGAGACATTTCATTGGAATGTCACCATCATACTGATAACTGTGGGGGGGGAATGATGTCAACTTACGCCTTCATTGACTCTGTAACTGTTCCAATCTGATTAACTTTGAGGAGCAGACAGTTGCAGGCCTTTTCCTCCACCGCCTTGCAGATGCGGCTGGGATTCGTTACAGTTAAATCATCTCCAACAACCTGGATGTCTGTACTCTCTGTGAAGTTGGTCCAGGCCGCCCAGTCGTCCTGGTCGAACGGATCCTCAATAGACACCACTGAATAAACAGGTTTTCATTAGGCCCATAGTGCGTTATAGTACAAATAACACCCCATATCCATAAGCTTTTGAAAAACGATTTCAATATTAAAATTCAGGCTTTTTGTCACAAGTAGTTGAATCACCTCAATTAGTTTCAGTGCAACTAAAATATGTAATGGCTTCTAAATTAGCCAGTCAAGTAATGTGCTGAGGTGTTTTAGCTTCCCAGCCTGTATTTTCTTCCTAATATTTTATGTACTAATAAAGAAACATTTTCAAATAGGCAAGTTTTTTTTAAAATAATTTGATTTTAAGTTCCACACAAAAATCAGCAAACAGGTAAATTCTTGAATAATAAATAGTCTGGGGTCCACTGTATGCCAGAAAGTTAAAATCTGATCTGCTCAAAGAACACCTTTTTCCAGCAAAAAGGCCTGTAGAAACTTTCACAGGTAACCTCTAAAGTTGTCTGGTTGCAGTGGATTTTCTGTAGGGGTATCAGAGCAAAGTGGGCTAAAAATGAATGCATGACACACTTTTGAGGTCCTTATTTCCAAGTTATGTGATAATTTGCCTTTCTGTGTCAAATAAATTCACTCTTAAGCACAATAGAGGTTATCATAACAGATTGCATGGCACTGGTTATCCTCAATCATTTTGTAGTTAAATAATTAATTAATCAATGTGTAAAAAGTTACATACCTGGATAATCCTTCACAAAGCTCCTGTAGAGATCTGCCAGCTCATCTGGTGTGATGTAGCGACTCGGGTCGTCAGGCGACTTGAAGTCCAGGTCGTATTTTCCGTCCCGGTAGAACTCGGATGCAGCTACGTCCATGCCGATCACGACCTCGTCTGTGTACCCAGCTTTAGCAATGGCCTCCTTCAGGAGCTCCAGAGCTTCAGGGTTTCACAGCAAACGCAAGCACATGTGGAAAAATGAAACATTTCACTGTCAACATGGTGTTGTGACTTTTCTGTTGCTTTTTGCAATTAAAATGACAAATGTGAACATTAAAGTCTTCAGGGAACTGAATTGTATGTAGACTTATGTCAGTCTCATGTTTCTGTAGTAGCATTTTGTCAAAAACTTGTTGGGATAGTATCACTAGTAAGAATTCCCACCCTCTTTATTTTCCAATATGTTTGGAGCAAAGCCGCCTTCGTCGCCCACATTCGTGGCATCCTGTCCATATTTCTTCTTGATGACATTTTTCAGGTTGTGGTAAACCTCTGCTCCGATACGCATGGCTTCTTTGAAGGTGCTGGCCCCAATGGGCAGGATCATAAACTCCTGCATGGCGAGCTTGTTACCAGCGTGAGAGCCGCCATTGATCACATTGAAGGCCTGGTGGTGAAGGAAAAGAGAAGAGACACAAAGCCTGTAGTTAATTGAAAGACAGGAAACCTGTGAATGTGTGTTTGCTGCTTAATGGAAAGTCTCACCGGCACGGGCAAGATGACCTCAGGGTTACCTGCCAGGTCCGCAATGTGGCGGTATAGGGGAACTCCTTTTTCTGCAGCGCCAGCTTTGCAAACAGCCAGAGAAACACCAAGGATGGCGTTTGCACCAAATTTGGCTACAATAAATTAAATGAAATTCATGCATTTAGATTATTAGTGAAAGCTTAGCAGAAAGACAACAAAATACACAAATTTTATACACACAAGACTTCAGCTAAAATTGAACAAGAAATTGAAGATAGTGATAGATGAAGTTACACACAGATGGTTTCTTACATTTGTTCTCGGTGCCGTCCAAATCGATCATCATCTGGTCAATTTTCTCTTGATCAACCACTGATACATCCTGAAGAAACAGGAAGTATCACACATCTGATTTACAGTATTTGATATACAAATCAAATACAGGGAACATAACTGCTGTCTTACCTCACTGACAAGTGCAGGGGCGATAGTTGAATTAATGTGTTCGACAGCCTGGGAGACGCCTGTTATGAGGAGTTAATTATGCTCTCACTGCATAATGCACAAGTCACTCAAAGGGACAAATTACAAAACACATTACACCTTCAGTGCTCCTAATTTGCACCAAATGCATGAGTGACAATATTTTAGTTTAATAAAGAAGTTAATCAGAGTCAAAAAATCCACCCTGTATTGATGCCAGAGCCCATCCAATATTGTACATTAAAGGAATTTGATTTGGGGGCCTTCCAGCTAGCATCAGCGACTACAGCTTGACTAAAGGTGCATTTCCACTGCAGGAATGTGTAAAACAACCAAGGTATAAAGTATAATAACATATTTTAAAAAGATAGAAAATCTTTACTGTCTAACTTCATGGAATAAAGTGGAACATTTTCAACATCAAAAATTCTTCCTTGATAACCAACTAATTTAAGTTTGCACAAAATTCAGTTCAGTGCAACTAGGAGGCCCCCGTTGGTTTGGAGGGTTTCTTATGCCTTCGATTGTCTGATTAATGTCCTATTTTGCTCTCCATTCACCACGCACAGATGTATAAACAATTGCAAAGCAAAGTTTCTAATGAGATAGTATTGATTGCATAATTCTTTAGTTATCAAATGGACATGAAAACATTCCCTTTCATTTAAAATGCAGTGTATTTGTCTAATAGTAGAGACAACAAAGAACACGAATGAGAGGAAGCACACAGATACATGAAATAGATGTGAATATTTAAATTATGAGGGAAATAAAGCCTGTCAACATTTTAGGCAAAGGCACAAATTCATCAAGTTGTTTCCAGCATTAAACAACAATAATGACACAAAGACCTTTCCCCAGGAAGCGAGACTTGTCATTGTCTCTCAGCTCCAGAGCTTCATAGATCCCAGTAGAAGCACCGCTGGGAACAGCAGCCCGAAACAGACCTGGAAATCATCCAGAGGAACAAGAACACCAAACACAATGAGTAAACAACTTAAAAAGCTACATTTTCCCCCCAGAAGATTTATATTTTTAACTGAGCCGCACTGTTGCTGTATTCGAGTTTATCAGGAGGATGCTACATGATAACGGTGGTGACAATGCAGTGTGCATAAAGTGTGCAAAAGCAGCAATATAATATAAAGTCAGGTTGCTGCTTAACAAGTTTCTAGACAATTGTTTAGTTTCCAGAAACAGACAGACAGATGTTCAATCAGATGTTCCAGATTTCTTTGCATTATTTCCCACAGGTTGAAAGTCTATGGCAGTGTAGCACTAAAGCAATACTGACCAACTTTTCCTAAAAGTTTTGCAAGCAGTTTGTTGGAAAAGCAATTAAAGTGCTTTTGGGGAGTTCACGTAAATGATGGGTGAGAAATTGGAACACATCCAAAGTTCAATTATAGTTTATCATTATAAGAACACATTGTCAATAAAATTTACATTCTGAAATCCAGGAACAGAAACTTATTGAAGCAAAGTGTGCAGGCCTACCTTTATCAGTATAAAGATCAACCTCCACTGTGGGGTTTCCACGAGAATCAAAGATCTCTCTGGCGTGGATCTTAATAATAGACATGGTGCACACCTGAAGATGAGACACAGGTACACTTGTCAATACTGAAACAAACAAACAAAAAGATTTCAATGAAGTTATCAGTAGGTAATAATAATTACTGAACCTCTTCCTCTACCTGCAGTACTCAAAAATATCCTGACCTCACTGCAAGCTTAGGAGAGCCAACAGACAAACTGCTACTTTAATTGGATTAGGTTTGTTCTGCTGATGAGTCACATGGATGGCAGGATAATGAACTTAGCCCATCTGTCAGAGAACTGGAGGCTGTGAAGAAGGGTGTAGCTGCTATTAGAAAGCTTGGATTTATAGTTCTTAACTTTAAAGTTTAAAACAGAACTCCTGTCACTCCATAGCCACTCTCCAACTAATAAATCATGATATCCCTTTTCATTACATCCCTATATAACCCCGGCAAACAGAAAAAAATTGTTCTCAATTAAAATTTTGCACACAAAGGAGCAGGAAAACACAGGTGTAGCATATTAAACTGCTGAAGATATGGAATTTCAATTGAGGTCTGTCAGAAAAACATATTCCAACAAAAAGTGAAGGACATTTTTGCTCTTCTAGGTCTACATTGTGAACAGCTCACTTTTACAAAAACAGCTTTCAATAAGTTACACAAATTGTTGTCCTCTGAAAACCAGAAGTAGCAGAGCATTTTGCTCCTAACATAAATATCTGGCTAAAATCCTTTTATTGGGTCTGGCAGGGTGCGGCCGTAAAAAGCAATACATGTACGGGGATCTTAGATCTCCATGCTGTCTGGGGTTTGAGTCCGACCAACGACCTTTAGCTCATGTCTTCCCCCTCTCTCATAAAACCTTTTTGCCTGACAACTGCAAAATAAAGGCCACTGGAGCCAACAAAACCTTAAAAAAATATTTTTACACATGGAACAGGTCAGTAAAGATCTAGCAAATGGGGATGGTCTTAAATTATGCAGTTTCAGAAACGTCATGTATTTGATCTGTATTCTGAACTAAATTATTTCACACAGACAAGAAGCAGGTTTACTTCCAAAACCAGTATTTTATTACTATACAAGAATAATGTGACATTTACTGCCAAAGATTACATAACATTATGTTGCAAATGCAATAATTCAAGAAAACAGTAAGTATGTAAAAAAAACTATGCAGTGGCATTGAATTGATTGATAAGTTGAAGCTATGTCCTGCTTCACATCTTGGTGTTTCATAATTTGCTTTGTTATGTTGACAAATATTTTCATGAGTTAAAATGTGTACGGTTTTAAACAAATAACACTGTTGCAAGTATTTCTCTAAGAGGATCATATCTCTATGGTGTCACAGGTAAAAAAAAAAAAAAAAAAAAGCATAAAATAAAAAATATAAATTTTATGAGTTTGAAAGGATATAAAATCTTTCAAAAAATAAAAAAGTGGCATGCATTAGCATTTTTCTCCTTATATTGTGACGTCACAAAATAAAATTCAGAGAAACAATTGACTTCCAAAGTAATTTAATGAGCCCTTAGGTTAGGAGGACACTCGGCTGCACCCGGATAACATATTTGGTTTTAACCCTCTCAGGCTCAAATTACTGGCAAAGACTGGATAAGTTGTTGCAAATCTGCAACACCTGCCTGGAGAGGGTTAAATTAAACTGCATAAAATGCTTTTTGCACACTTAATCGGACTTTGAGCAGAGGAGCAACGGGGGGTCCTAAGCTTTTGGCAGCAGAAACAGAGCCCCATTCTTGTCTTTTTCTCTGCCTTGAGATACAATCTCTGCTCCTCCAGCCTGCAGCTTTGGCAGGAAGCCACTTCCTCTGATATTTTCTGCAGAGGTATTTTGAATGAAAAAAAATTGCCAACACAAAGCGAGCTTTGTGTCAACTGGCTTTGGTCGCTATATCTGTACATATTTTCTTAGGTTTGAGCAGACCCTGATAAACGTGTTGCGTCCTCACCCTCTAACCAGGTTTAGTGTGAAATATTGAAATGCTGCAATTTGTGGTAAAACATAGGATTCATCGTCGATGGACTGGCAACCTGTCCAATGTGTCTGTGCCTCTCGCCCGTTTGACCGCTGGAGATGGGCTCCAGCACCCCTACTGACCCCGGTGGGATAAGGATGTAACAAAATGGACTCATTATTTACCATGTTTTACAACAATAGTCAATATGTTTATTTATAACCACACCTTTATAATATAATCTGTTATTTTTAGATTACCTTACTCTTATTTGTAATCTCAAATGTAGTGTGAACCTCATATCTGCCTTAAAAGTGTGTCTGTAGTACAATAAGCTTTAACCTGCGCAGACAGAAAACACATACGCTCTCAATTTGGAGTCTGTGTTAATTTAAAATAATCAAGGTCTTACTTTCATCTCTGAGAAAATGAGAAGTTTTGGAAATTTACTCACTTCAAACCAATGTCTGATTTACATTCAGCAGTTTTTAGTTTTTATTACTTTTATCAGATTCAGGTTATTTCATTGACCATTGTGGGTTTTACATTTATTAACAGAGAGGTACCTACAAGTTTTAAATGATTTTTTGTGTCCTGCTTCTACACAGTCATACAGTAAGATCCTTCATATTGTTTATAGCCTCTCTTCAAACAATGGATTTAGTTAAATGAGCAAATGTGAGGAAAATACAAAAAACAGCTAAGCTTTATTTCAAGCTAATGAGGTTCATTATATGGTTGATTAAATTTGACAGTATGTGTGAACTCAAGAGACTGAATGTGAGCACCTTAGAGAAGTGAATCAAAAGGTCTTTAAAGTTTAAAGGTTTGCACATTAGACAACCCAGGTTTTGAATGTTTTTCTTTTCTTTTACCTGTAGCAGATTTATTTGTTTTCCTGTACAGGATACGTGTCACGCTAAGAGTGGAAAAAGTTTGTAAATTATTTTTCATGGTCTAATTTTTATGTCATGAAGACTGAACATTTCAACAGGGGTTGATTCAGTAGATCTAAGAGATTTATTTAGCTGAATATCAGTTGTATTTTGTTTTCCTTCCCTCAGGCACATTCAGTGAGGGAAGCCTCCTCGTTTCCCATTTCCCTTGACATCCCCGGAAGATCATCCGCAGGCTGGGTGCTCATCTTGATGCGCTGGGAAAAGTAGGCAGCGACACAAAAGACTGAAGGTTTAACATTATAAGTGTTTTGATATAATATGAAATATCAACTACTAACCTCCCAGATAGTTCCTTTTCCGCTGGCCAGTTTCCACACCATGTTGAGTGGGATCATAGACAGCGAAGACAAGGACAAAAACCAGCCAATGCAATAAGCCCACCATGGATACACATATGAATTGTTGAACTTCATTGGGGTGTATCTCAGGAGCAAAAATACAAAGGATCCCTTTAAAGGACAATGAAAAAGAAAGAACATTGTGGGATCAAAGTTAAACTTGTCATGTGGAACCAGAGATCCTGTCAAGTTACTTACAAAGCACAAAAGAGGGATGGCATACAGCCAGCAGTACTTGATAAGTGCCAGAGGTTTGTACCCAATCATGTCTTTGATGTTGTCAGAGAACCGTCCAGCTCCTGCAGGAGAGAGAAAGAGAGAGAGAGAGAGAGAGAGAGAGAGAGAAAGACTGCTTTATTGTTGAGAGGAAAATATAATGATGTGTGCAAATAGATCTGTTTTGCACACATCAAAAGAGATCCATTTTTCCCACCTAAAACGAGATGTTTAAAAGGTTGTTAAATAAAATAAACTTGTTTTTAATAAATCTATTTTTAACATTATTAATATCTCTTTTTCACCTCTCACCGTTCCCTTCACCTCACATGGCAGAAAGACCCACCGAGGTGCTAATCCGTTTAGTTGTTTTTAATATTTCAGTTATTTCTCTGCGTCTTTGAGTGAGTTTAGGTGTCAGCACTTCCTATGCTAAAAATGTTTAAAAAACTAATAAAATGAACTATAAACTGAATAAATAATTATAGCGTCATTCATTTTATACACCCTCTATTTTGTGTGAAAATACACATCTGCATGGGCTTTTTAGATATCTTTGGCAAAAATGTCAGTATAAGTCTGATGGTGGATTTCTCAATATCAAATTTAAAATAAAAACATTGAACACTTAACCCTGAAGTAAGCCTGACTGCTAGGCTAAGGGACATTTTTCTGGAATTGAAAAAACATTTTTTTAAGCCCTGTAGGTCTTTCTCACATTTCTCTGGTGTTATTTTGAGTGAATCCTAGTTGGATAAAATAATAACCACAAACATGACAGCTGTTTCTTACCATAAATCCATCCAATAATCACTGACTGGAAGATTGCCATCATAAGAAGTGTGGGTCCGCTGCACACATAGTGATCAAAGATCTGCAGAATGTAAATTCCTGCCTGAAATCAACATGAGGTCAAGTTTTGATGGAACAGTTATTATCTATGAGGATCACGTTTCCTAATATGGCACCTGATTGGTCCAGAAAACAGTCAAAACTGTTTCTTTAGCCTCACCTCTGACACGAAAAAGAGGCCAAACATGAAACTACAGGAACAGATCAGCAACAGCAAAAGCTCTCTGCGGTATCCCTTCCTGATCCTGGAAGGACAGACATCTGATAATGAGGTAATGATGCTTTCCAATCCAATAAACTACAAGGGAGAGATTCACACAGAGAGGATTTACGCTGAGGATGCATTTTATGACACACGTTGTTTTAAAATAAATTTAAGACCTTGCTATTGACCTGACTGTCGACTCCCAAAAAGATAATTATGGAGAAAAAGCAGATGGACCAGAACTGAGGCCAAGGAAGGAGAGTTACAGCTTGTGGGTAGACTATAAAGACGAGTCCAGGACCTGCAAAATAAACCACAAAGGAAATGATTTATTTAGTTTCTAGTATTGTGGGGCTGATATTAAAAGCATGGCGGCAAAAACCAGATTTATATCTGTACCTGATTCAGCAACAGTGGAAATGTCGACACCCTGCTTTTGTGACATGTACCCCAGAATTGAGAAAACAGCAAATCCAGATAAAAAACTGCTTCCACTGTTTACCAAGCAAAGATAGAAGGAATCCCTGCAAAAAGTAAAACACAAGATGTAAACAGACTGGCAACCATATCACAAGTGAAGTTGCTGTAGGAATAAACTATTAGCTTTTCTGACACAAACTAGAGCCATAAAGACTCCTTGAAGGTGCTCACCTGTAACAGTCATTGTTATACTTGTTGTAGCTCCCGAGAGTAGTCAAAAATCCCAAGCAGAGAGCAAATGAATAAAATATTTGTGTTCCAGCATCCATCCAGACCTATAACACAGTCAAAACAAGTCTGTCTAATGACTCTCAAAATAAATTAAAGGGACATGGAAAGCGGGCTGCTTGAGTCAGGGTACCTGTGGATCAGCGAGCCGTGCAGGATTGGGGTACATATAGTACTTTATACCATGTAAGGCTCCGGGAAGAGTCACTCCTCTGACTAACAGCAATACTAACAAGAAGAGGGGGAATGTAGCTGTGAAGTAGGTCGCCTGCATAAAATAATAAAAATAAAAAAAAAAACGTCATCCATCCTGTTAGCAAGATAAACTTAAAAACATTAGCTGGAAAAAGCTGTTGTTTTTTCTGAAGTTGTCGGCTTCCATGTCTGTCTAATTGCTGCCTTTCCAAAAGGTTGTGATGCACCTTCTCCTCCATGACAAGACGTCATTTATCTCCAGTACACAGTTGATGGTTATCATAATATCCTTTGTAAAAAGAAGCTAAAACACACACCCTGCATTGCACAGCTTCTCAGAGAAAGAGAAGCCTCAATTTACATATAAGTGAAACCAAACTCTCATTAATTATTGATCGTTTTAATTTGTATGTTTGTGTGAATAAGTACTGGAGACATTGAAAAATGCAATAAAACAGGCTAAAAGCATTGGTTACTTTATTGAATCTAGATTATTTTTCCTCTGAGTTATCAAACTAACATACACAAAAGATGATTCTTACATCCATCCATCCCTCCAGTGTAATTCTGGTTTTACCTTTCCAGTGGATCTCACTCCCTTCCAAACACAGAAATAGCAGATAATCCAGGACAGGAGAAGGCACAAAGAAAGGTCCCATCGTATGTTTCCCAACGTCTCTATGCCAGTGGAAATATTTAAAACCCGCCGCCTGTAACATTAGATGCACTTTAAGGGCACGTACAGAATTGTTTTTAAAATGTTCACTTTTTTAGTACAATACATTTTTACTCATGAATATGAGCCCTGAGAGCTACCTTAAAAAGCTCAATTACACTTAAAATGCAATTATTTTTCCACTATAGTATATTATAATTGTCATTGTTTTTCTTTAAACAAATATATAAGGGGGCAAATACTGCATAAAATAAAAATAAATATGCATTTTATGGATCTAATCAATTTGACACTCAGAACAACTGATTTGTAATATGATTCTTGGAATTGGAAAATATATCTTTGCAAAATATTTTGTGTTAACAGATAAAGAAGTTGCAATACACAATAACCTGAGGTGTCATGTGGGTTTAATCAGTTGCATGTCCTGACTGACAGATCAAAAAGGTTCACAACAAAATGTCTAATACCAAAATTTCATCTTCATCAGTTTACAAGCCCTGCACCCAAATGTGTCATTTAATGTTCTTAGTATCTTTGGTATAGTGGAGTTTACCCATATTTTCACTGATTAGATAAAATTTCAAACAAGAGGGAGCTAAGAATCCTTTGAGTGATAAAGAAGGTTTGTGTTTGTCAAAAAATGTTCCAGGACTTACTGCCAAAACTCCAGAACAGAGGATGACAAAGATGCATTCATTGAAGAGGTCCAGTTGGCAGAGCCATTATAGTGGTTTAGTACCACACAGTTATCTGAAATATGTCAAAAGGTTTTAGAATATGTATGCACAGTGAAATTATTCTAAAAGGATAAAAATAGCTATGTGGTTTGTCACATAGCAAAAATAAACTTCAATGTATTTTATTGCACTTTATCCAATAGATGAGCACATTTACATTGCTGCGACATGGAAGGAAAATAATACTAATATAAAAACACAAAGTCTAATATGTGTGTATGTATTCAGTCCTCCTGCCTTTTGCCGTGTCCCTGTCAGCTTCAGTAGAGTTTCTGCCTCTCTGAAAATCAGATTTTGAACTTTAACTAGATCTTCCTAACACACAAACCAAACATGCCTTCATCTAAACTGTATTGTGCCTGTTTCTGTGTTTGTGGTCTTGTTCTGCTGGAAAGTTCATCTGTACCATGTTTTTTTCCCCAGGATTGGCATAGATTTTGCTCCCTTCATCTTCACTATGAACTGTGATGCATCTTCCCACCATATTTCACCTTTGCAATGGTGTGCTATTGGGGCAGATATTTATACATAGTATTTTGCATGTAACACAAAATGTTCATATTTAGTCTAATATGATCAGAACACCTCTCATATTCCAACTCTTACATTAGTGACAGCTTTGTGCTGAGCTCGACTAATAAACGTCTAAGGCGCAAATCTCTCACACTGTGGATCTTTTGGCTCTGATGTTGGATTAAATAATTCTCTGCGAGACAAAACTGATGTTTGATAACCTAACTTTGATTTTGCCCTCTGGGAATCAAAAAGATGTTTGTTCTGTTTTTTTATATATATAATTCTATTTATGTTGGACTGTCATATTAAATTCACACAAAATACATAAATATTTCTTGTCTGAGTTAACAAGACAAATTGTGGAAAACTTCAATGAGGGTGAATACTTTTACATGCCTCATAAGTCTAAACCCTTTAAGATTTTTATTTTACCTGTTACAGTCTTAACAGCGTACTGCTATTAAATTCAGTGTTGTGTTTTATTTCAGAGCAATGTGTCATAGTTAATGAATTTACCGGTGTTCCACACGTTGTTGCAGCTTGTCCAGGGCAACTCTGTGGAGAACGAAGCGAAGAAGTAGAGGAAAGCCCAGGCCAGAACTACGATATAGCTGACACTAGCATAAAAAATAATCATCTGGCTGGCATATCCCAATCCTAGAAATAACCAATAACATAATTATCGTTTTTTTTCTTTAAGTTTACTGCATTTCATTTCAATTATTACACTCTTTGTGAACTTGCTTACCTTCAAACAAGGGGCAGACCTTTCTCCAGCACATGATTCCCCCCTGACTGGTGTACTGACCCAGTGATGTTTCCAGTATGAACATGGGAATTCCACAGGTAACAAGAAAAAGTCCATAAGGAATGAAGAATGCCCCTGGAAATGCCAATAGATGTTAATAAGAACTGTGAACATATAGTCAGACCAAAAAGCAGTCTTCAAAGAATGACTTCAGTCATTAAGGCAAAGAAAAAAACTATGAAAACCAACCTGACTATGTGAAAGGTTCCCCATTTGTTAAATAATAAACAGCCACTAGATGGCACTGTTTTAATAGTTTCAAAGAATCTGACATGTCGCAATTAGGCTTAGTGTTTTCATTTTGATGTTTGAAATTTGAGGTAACATGTCAATCTAGGTCATTAGATCCTGCAGGCAGTAATTAAAAAAAATAAATCCTAAATTCTTGACACAAAAGAGACTGAGGTCTTTACAGTCTTATGGTTTCATATCCTCTATAAAGGAAGTCTCTGAGTCTCTAGTCCATTTCTCAAGAAATATTAACTATGAGTTAATATTTAGTGCAAAGAGTAATAATGAGGTTTGATGAACAGCTACAATTGTAGGCTAAATATTATGTTTCTTACTCCCTGTATTAAGTGCTAAAATAAGTTTTGTGAAGCCATTAAAAATCTATAGATACTGTGACATCCACGATAAAACGCCGGTGTGAATTTGGCTTCTGTGTGGCTGACTTAGTTACTTATACAAATAAAAAAGAAGACAAATCTTGATTGAAAGAAAAGCATTTTGAAATAAAAACTAGTATCATTGTACTATTATTATAGTAGTAGTAATACTACAATTAAAATCAAATTTCACTAGTAATAATGCATTTCTTTCAGTGATTTGTCTATTTTCTCATGCTAAGAGCAAATACAACATTAAATAAAATCTTACATAGCATGTTAGTACTGTGTCATAGTCTTGTTCACATTTAACAACATTACATCCAACTTAAATACTAAAAAGCTAGACTAATAAAAATAGGAAATGCAATTCAAAACATAATGATATTGTGTAACATACTACCGTGCTTAAACACGCTCAGGGTGGCGAAGAAGCTGGTGCCTATTTCCAGCGAGAAGCGTGGTACGCAATAGACAACTCAAAAAACCATTGCACATTATGAACAGTAATTAAAAAACAAAAAGAATATTAGCAAAGAGTTGATTTAATTTTGTAGCTCAAAACACTAAGTGAACCACATTATAAAGAATATTCACATGCAGATTAATGTTTTTGAGATTGTTTTTGTTAACTCTGATTTTCTGCATACTTGTAATGCAAAGATTAAAATTACATCAGATTGTTTTAATACAAATTTGTGAATTTAATAGAAAGAATGTTTAATACTGGAAGGTTATTTTCAGATAGTATTTTAATCTCTCAAGCGAGCCTCATTAAATTACATATTCCAATTTGTTGAATATGTATGTATTTTATTTTAAGAATTCTGATAAATGCCTACAATTGAAATTACTATTATTATTGATAAGCTCTTTCCTAATTAATTGGGGAGTTTTTTTCTTAAAAGAGATGTGTTCAGCCTTTTAGTTATTTATTTCTGTTTGAATAAAAAAATGGCACTTGGAATTGGTCAACCCAACATCTCACAAAAAATAAACAGAAATAAAGAATCCAATTTTAATTTTAAAAATTGCTGTTTAATCCATATGTTTCAACATGTTTTAATTTCATATGGATGAAATTAAAACATTGTGAACTTGTCTAAATGACTTCATATGCTAAAAATACAATAACTATAATAATATAATAACAGTTGTAAATAACCAGCTCTTAAACACCTTTTGTGCGTAAATTAAGTGAAAAAAGTCAAAGAGAAAAAGATACCACAGAAAAGAGATTTTTTGGGAACAGTGTCTTTTCTAATGTCTTTTTAATTTAAAAAATTAAAATGGCTTGTGAAAAATATTAACAACCATTTTTTTTAAAATATAAGAGATCAGAATAACTGTTAAATAGAGGAAAAAGTGTTACATATTCATAAAAAGTCAAACTGGGTTAATCTAACCACTATGTATTGCACATGGTGAAGATTAAAATTACATTAAATTAGATGTTTTTGTAAGAACACAGAAAACAATTTCATAACCTTCAATTAACACATTAAAAGTGACAAAACAACACTTACCTCCACCATTCTTGTAGCAAAGGTATGGAAATCTCCACACATTTCCAAGTCCCACAGTGGCACCAGTCACAGACAGAATAAACTCCTTTTTGCTCTCCCACTTGCCGCGCTCCTTCACAGACGGCAAAGCCGCCTTTGTGGGGAAGTGGCACAGCTTCCACAGAGAGCCAGCCATCCTCAGAGGCTGACAATTGTACAGTGACTAATGTAGCTCTTCCACTTGCTCAATTGTCTTTCTGAGAATCAAGGCAGAATCATGGGTTACCTAACAGTTGCCTAATTGACAGGCTAGCCTTTAATGAAACCACAAGAGGGACCTCTGTCTGCTTCCCTGTACTTGATTTCCAGCATTATAAACCACAAAGTGGCACAGGGGGATTTTTATTTAAGGCTTCCAAACATAGTGCTGCTGTATTTGATTGCATGAATGTTGACCTCTATTTACGTTCGAGTGTCTAATAACCGCAGAGCTATGCATATTTTGATATCTTTACTGAATGTGTTAACGGTTCAGTATTTTTCTGTGCAAGCAACAACATTCGTCAAATTCACTTTTGTGTCTTTGTGCAATAACGATTCAGTAAATCTAAGCCTAAGAATAAATGAACAATGAATAGGTTGTTTTTTTCTATGACATTCACGGTATTGTTTTACAAGGCTGATTTTTTTTAATCTACAACAATTAAAGTTTCATAAATGGCGGAAAAAGATCCAAAAACTGCAGTTAACCAGAAAAACTCTTTAATTCTTTTCACATATTTCAATTCCCTGTAAGATGTCTCTAGATATCAGATTTCTAAACTCACTTGAGGGCTTTCAATCATTCTTATTTCTCAGAAAACATTTTTGTGCAGTTTAGTATTTCAAAGTCACAGCAGGGAACACCTTTTTGATCCCCTGGTGAAGACAGAGTAACCCTCCTGTTGCAGCCGGTAGATCGATTAAAATAATCCCTCCTTTCTGCATCAATATTTCAGTAATGTCCATGACACTGTGTATGCAACAAGTTGCTAGTCAGTAATTAATAAACCTTTTATGAAGTCTTACACGTTGATAACCTTTTGGTCTGTATAAAACATCTGTCTGGGCTTCTTTTATTTTTAGGTTTGTCAAAAATGTAATTTCCCTCTTACAGAGAAATGAGCTGAATGAAAGAAATCAAACAAGGACTGAATGAGAAGGATAATATTCATAACATTACTTCCTAATGTCCGAAGACAATCGTATCTGTGCAAATCATATTTCATCTGCCCCAAAGATTTAGATTAAATATTGTTCGCTATATATGGTGCATCAACAAATTAGAATGTCATGTAAAAGTTCATTTATTCCGACAATGCAGATCATAAAGTCTTAGTTTTCTTCTGCTAATTTGGATAATCATATGGTAACTTAAAATACACTTGCTCAGAAGATAGAAATATTAGTTAAAATGAATTACAAAAAGGACTTTTAATGCAGACATCTTGTGCAATGTGTTACACATTTCTTGGAAAAATATAGGCTTGACAGTTGCACGGCACAAAGTCTTGCACCCTCCCTCAAGAGGGTACGCTAAGGAAGGTCAAAACAAAAATGGTGAATGTTCAGAGTGCTGTAACTAAACATATAAATGTAAAGTTGGGTGGGAGGTATGGATAACACAAAGAGAGGGCTGTCACCAATGATCCAAAGCTTCTACAAGAGACATCTAACCTCAGACAGTCTCAAGGAAAAGTAAACTTTCTGCCTTTTTAAATAGAGCTCTTATGCCTAGTACAGAGAACGCAGCAGTCAACATTCCTCTCTGTTATATTGATCAATGTCAAGTATTAGCTGGAGTTAAGCATGAGTGCGACCGTGGAAAAAAGCTTTCTGAAAAATAGATTGCCCTGTTTCTATGTCCTGTTCTGTCAGGACAGAGAACGTGTTTCCAGAACTGGGAAAACAGATGTTTTCTGGTCAAGAAACCATACACTGTTCGCCTCTGAACTACTTCTGCATACTTTGTGCTATTCAAACATTCAACTTTTACCATATTTTGCTCATTCAGGGCATTATTGCTATCGTATTTTCTGGACTATAGAGCACACCTTACTATCAGTCGCACCTACAAAAAAAAAAAAAATGGAATCGCACCTGTATAAGCTGCTGGTATCTCCTTATGTTTAAGGCATATCTGGTTTTTTGTTTTTTTTAGTTGCACCAATAAAAGTGTGACCTTAAGAAGCTGACCACTGAAGGAAAACACACAGTAGCCCCTGTTGCAGAAGACGGGCCGTCACGGTGCATAACCTCACACCGACTGTGATGTAGGGTCATGTGAGACAGTGATGTGTAAGTTCCTGGAGTGGTGGCAAAGGTACTAAAGATTATTTTTGATAGGGCCATGATCAGCTAACAACAGGTGTTGGGTAACTTCAGCATGCTGGCTGAGGGGGGAGGAAGCTTTTTCTAACACCACAGAGCCAGATGCTCTGCTTCAGTCGAGCGCCAATACATACATACATATATATATGTGTGTGTGTGATAGAGAAAGACCCAAGTTGTTCCAATGTGAAAGCTGAAATGATAATGAATAAACTCAACTAAACTATTGCATAATTATGTTTTAGGTTGTGCAGCTGTTAATTTTCACTCTTTTTATTTATCTTTTGTGCTTTTTTGTTAAAAACTGTTGTGATACTGGAAGTTTTCAATGTAAAACATCGAAGACCTAAATTCTTGTCATCAATTCATTGCACTGGAGTCCAGCATATTAATCAATCTGCTAAAATCCATTACAATTAATCTACATATAGAGCACAGGACAAAAAGAATTCAGGTTGTGAAATAGTAAAACACCTCTGTCAGATCTTGAAGCCGCTATTTTACCAGACATTGTGATAACAGGACAACTTGATGGATTAAAACGTTTCCAGGTCATGAGGTGTTCCTTTGAAGACATGGTTAAGGTCAGAATACCAAACATTTGGTTAAAGTTACAAAGTAATCTTTCACATGACAATCATGACAACTCAGAGCCCCTGGTTAACCTAAAGTTGTATGAACACACCAAAAGGTACATTGCCTAAAAAAAATATTCACCCCCTTGGTTGTTTCACCCTTTTCCTTGCTCTTGTATGATCGCATTAGTCCTGTGCTCAGTTCGATGCACTGACTTACAAGTGCTCAGAGATAAGACTTTAGAATAGCTCTGCTTGTTGATAAGTGCCTTTGAGATCTAGTGCCAAAGTACATTTTCTACATATTAGAAACACATGAACCAGCTCAGACTCTGAGAATGTCAGCCAGTGGTCTCCTGCTGGTGCCAGAGTCAGAACCACACACTGTGAGGCCACGTTTCAACGTTCAGCTCCTATCTGGGACAGTCTTCCTGAAGAAGTGAGACTTTTATCATCTTTAAATACAAGCTGAAGACAGTTTGTGGGAGCTTGACTGCCAAACATTTAGCTCCATCCATCTTCCCATCAACTCTAAGCAGTTTGCCCAGTCTGATGACTGGGCAAACAGTCATCAGACTGTTTGCCCAGTCTGATGACTGGGCAAACAGCTCTGGTGAGTTTCACCACTGATTATAATTATAGGGAAGCAGCATTCACAAACAACACAGAATGAGCCCTGGTGACAAGAAGGCCGTCTTCCTAGCCATGTTTTTACTCTTCTACAAAGAGCTTACAATTTCCCTTCAAGCCACCAGCTGCTCATGGTTTCCGATAAAAGGACTTGCGTTGACATTTGTTTAATAAATTTAAAGCGTGTGATTACTGGTCATCAGAGTAACAAAGAAAATTGTTGATGTTATGTGAAACAGCTGGCTGCTGTCTACTTATGCCTGGTGGGCTTGAATGCTCAGGACTTTTCCAAAATGTGCGAGTATGAGCTCACAGAAAGCCCCCTCTGTTTCAAACCTCTGAGGAAAATATTCCTGAATGCATGACACCAAGAGATGTACAGTCAAAGACGGGACGTGAGCCATCAAGAATGGAACACAGGACAATTGAAGGAAAGGCATGCATGGTAGTCTTGTCTATAAAGCACAGCTGCAAACGTTTGCATTGAATATTAAACTATTAACTATTCAGCCACGTTTCTTGTCCCAGTTAGGCACCAATATAAAGATTGTAATTTCTCAGCAGTCGGAAACATTCTGACAAACCAGAGCATTTTATGACTGTAGATCATAAAATCTGCAGTCAACAAAATATTGCTTAAACAGATGGCTTTTCAAAAACATTTTCCCCACATTTACACATCTTTGTTGATGTCTTTCCAGATTTATGCATCAAAGTCTTTTTTGTCTCTGGAATGCAGAACAAAACCAGTTGGTGCATGGTTTTGCAGCTGCAGGCCTGTAATGTGGGTCAGAAGTATTCCTTGGTTGTTTCCCAGGGATCAGACTTCTCACACCTTCTAGCAGAAATCTTCTTAAGATTCTGAAACACTAGAGATCATTGTATTATTTATATCTGTCTTGGCTGTGCTGTTCTTGTGAATTAAACCAAAAATGATCACAATCTTTGATGACTCTACATTAAAAGCAACTTGATTTAGAGGTTACTTCTCTAGAATTTAGTTACTATGTCATCAAATTTATAAAAACATTGGTCCTAACATCAGCCTTTGATATTGAGTATTGCACAGGTCTTATTAACAGACTGAAAGATTTATTTGCCATCTTTGCTTGTCAAAGTTACAATTGATTTTAAAATGTTAGTCTTTAAGAGTACTTAATGGACAGGCCACTGTAAAATGTGCAAAATAAACAAAGTCTACTTACTTTCTTACATTTGGTTAATGCAGCTCAGTGTTGTTGTGATGTATTTTGGTGATTGATAGCTATTCTTGTTTTTTTGCAAACAAATGTGCAAAGTTTGTAGCATGCAAATGGATCCAAAACAACAGACAGCATTTGATTTTTATTTCAAACTGCACAAATGTCAAAATGATATTTGTGTATTATAAACCTGTATGTTGATTAAAAAAACAAAATAAAAAAAAGCTTGAATGCCACTAAGTAATAGATAATGTACATAGATGTAATCCAAAGGTCTCCTTGTCCTACACTTTCCTTTGTTCCTGTCCCACATGATCATGTTCTGCATCTGAAGCCAGTTTGAACACAAATCAAGCATCAAGTAGCTTTACAGTGCAGGAGTCAGGAAGCCAAAGGGACTTTAAACACAAACCTTTCTTTCATGATCCAGAGCTGACATCAGGCAGGATGGCAGGCTGCCTACACATCTGCAAAATATGGCAGAAATAATTGACTCATGCAGAAAAATAGAGACCATAGAAAGCTTACACATATATTCACTCTAAGTAAAACAAAAAACTGGAACATTTAAACTGTATAAACAAGGGATATAAAAAGAATATAATAATAGTAATTAATGATACATAAATTAATTTTACTTACATTTCTTTATTTAAGCAAACTTCAAGGGTTTTTTACATTTATTTTTGAGGATCTTAACAAATGAAGAACTGCTTCAGATATGTAATTGTAAGACTATACATAATTTGTAGCTGGATTACAGAAACTCCTGTGGACAAGGGTTTCTCAAAATGTCCAGGATACATTTCAGCAAAATGTTCAAATCAATGTGTTACCCAACAGAGGGGCTCAAAAACAAAAAATCTGAAAGCAAAATATCTTTTCTGAACTTCTATTCAACAGCACAACTGTGTGTAACACAGCCTCAGTTATTTCTGGACTGCACAAAAAGATCAAGCACACACACAATGTTTATTTTTAATATATAAGATCCTGATAATGTCACTGGTGCATCAAAGATTTGAAATAAGAAAACATTCCTGGACTTGTTTGAATAATACATTTTTCTATCTGAAGCAGCGTTGGTGCCATTTTTAATAATAACGACACCTCTGAGTAGAAGAATGATAGTTTTTCTAAGCGAATTTGAATAACATTGCCACGCGAACCAAAACTCCTCACCAGTTGGTGGCGGTAATGTGAACTGAACAGCTGTTTGCCAATCGCCTTTCTCCAGAAGAAGAAGTCGAGGAAGAAGAAAATAAGCATGTGTTTGTGTGTGACTTTTACCACCAGAGGGCAGTAGACTTCCAGCATCAAGAGGACTCGACAGGAACTGAAAGAAGAAGACTGAAAGCCGCTCCAGGATCGGTTTGAATGAACCACCAGCTTTGATAGTTTGTTCATTTGTTTTGTCGAAGTGGTTTGTTAGGTTTTCTCGGACTTGTGTCCTGCTGTGTGACGTTAAAATGTCCGGGATCCCTCCAGACACGTGGCAGCCGCCCACCGTCGCTTTGGAGACCACGTCAGTATGAAAACACTACATGCTAAACTTGCTAGCTTTACTTTTTGCGTGCACGGAGACGTGCCTCTGAACGCAACTGAACGACGAACGTACCAGTGTTAATATCGTAACTTCATATTTTCACTCCGAGGTGGTGCTGCAGAGCATGATCTCATTTTAACAGATCGACACTAATGGCAGATGATGTTTTTTTTATTGTTGTTTTGTTAAGGATGGGCACGGTTCTGGTGGAGCTTTACTGGAGCCATGCCCCAAAAACCTGCAAGAACTTCGCAGAGCTGGGCAGGAGAGGCTACTACAACAACACCAAGTTTCACCGGATTATCAAAGACTTCATGGTGCAGGCGGGGGATCCTACAGGAACAGGTGGATTTGACACAAAGCAGCCTAAAGAAAGGATGGAAGTTATGCACATCCCTTTATAAATAACTTAAAACGTTCAGAGTCCTTTAACCTCCATTATTCTGATGCTCCTAATTAAAATCAAGTTCTGCCAGGTCCATTAAGAAGTCAGAGTCACTACCAGTCGATAATTTAATTTCAGTACAAATACTGATAATTTTAAAGAGTTTTTCGGGACAAACCATATCATGAAACAGAATCAATGTAGTAGACAAAAAATAAATAAATACCAAGGACCTGTATGTGATTTTTATTTTGGTTGCTTGGCTAAATCTGCAGCTACTGATCTTTGTTTTGACCCCTAGGTCGAGGCGGTGCCTCCATTTATGGTAAACAGTTTGAGGATGAACTTCACCCAGACCTGAAATTTACAGGTAATCCCAGGGAAAAAATATGTCAACACACAGGTGGAATTTATCCACATTCTACATTTAATTTAGAATTTTAAATCAATAAATGTCTTTTTTTTTTTTTTTGCTATACTTTATCTTGTGATTGGCCAAAAGTGCATTGGTTTTTCTGTTAAGATCATTTGCATCTTAAGCATCTGTGAACATCAGAAAACCACCTCTTTTCTTTTTCTTTTATTCCAGGTGCTGGAATTCTGGCCATGGCCAACGCAGGACCAGACACCAACGGAAGTCAGTTCTTCCTCACCCTCGGACCCACGCAGTGGCTCGACGGGAAGCATAGTATTTTTGGAAGAGTGTGCCAAGGCATGGGCGTGCTAAACCGGATTGGGCTGGTGGAAACAAACAGTCAAGATCGTCCGGTCGATGATATTAAAATTGTCAGAGCCATTTTACCTAATTAGACAAAATGCCTCTTTTTAATTTTTTTTTTTTTTATTGCTTTTGAAAATAAATATTAAAACTTCGCACAAGTTTGTATTTTTTTCCTTTCAGTTGATGCTTAGAGACCAAATGAATCACTGAAATTACCAATAGCAGGCAAAATGAAGACATAATATTCCCTCAACGCAACAGAATTATTATCACCACTATGACTTATCTTGAACAAGTAGCTGCCCTCTGGGAAACTCATGCATGTCTTTCTTTTTATGACGGTTGGGAAGCATTCATGTTCATTAGTACTTAAAACATCTGTGAGTTATTTCTTTTTTTATGTAACTGGACATTTCTTAGATGATGAAATGGAATCCCCCATCTGGAAAATTATCATGACTGTGCCACTTAGAAAATTATACATACACTGAAACAAATACAGCTTTCTAAAACGGAAGTACAGAACAAGTCAGCCCCACAGTGGACGATATGTGAACAGCTTTAACTGTTCGACATGGAAGTGGGGGAAAAATGCCAGTTTGAGGTCTTAATGTCCCTTAATTGTTAGTATGTTAGAAAATTTCCAACTTGAGATCATGGTGTCTGTTGTATTTGTAAGCCTTTTTTTTAACATTAAGTAAATATTTTTCATAAACAAGTGGGGTTTTTTTTATCTTTAGTCACTTCGTTTTTGTAAAAACTGAACTGTCACTCTGTAAAGACACACAAAATAACAATGAACAAAGTTATCTTACCCCAGAAAGTATTTTATTGTACAACTTTACAGCCATACTCACAGAGAAAAGGCTTTTTTAAAGTTAAAAAACTACATTGTGCCAAAAAAGATAAAAGGCTCTGTAAAAGTTATTTTATAGCTTTTTAAAAGTCATAAAACATGTTTACTTGGTTCATATAGTGCATAAAATATCTATATCTTGTAAAAAAAAAAGTCAGATAAAAGCAATTATAAGTAGTCATATCAAATCAGCAGTGGTCAAAAATGTCCTAATAGCATACTGTCTTGCCTGCCAATGGATAAAAATCATTTCATAACAGTTTGGTCTGGCCACAATCAGAATAAAATGCTCGATATGGCTCTCCTCAAATGTAGTACACAAATTTAGCACCACAAAGTCATTAAATATGCATTTTCTTCCCAAATCTAAGTTTAGAATTACATTCTTCTGAAAAATCTAATTAGCTTTGACTTTGAATGTTTTCTTTACACATTTCCACATTGTGATGTAAATACTAGTAATACTACAACAACATAAAACAGCATTAATGCCCCTCCTGTCCATTAAGAGATAACGTTACTGTAAAGCTATATGCGTTTGTACTGAGTACAGATGTGTGCTTTAACATCACCATTATTTGGCTTTCCTTTGGGTTGGTAAACATCAGTACGGGGTTTGTGTCATTGCTTGACATCTCCCAAAACATTTAATGCACCCATGAAAATGCTACAATGTCTGATTCTCAGTAAGGCACAAACTTTACAAAGATACACAAACTGACTGGTCAGTCTCCCTCAAGCATTCCACATTCTGAGGGTAGTATATCTCCATGACTGTAGACATGTTGGCATACCTTAACGCAAAATTGCATGTGCAACAGATTGCTGCCCAAAACTAAACTGTATCGTTCTGACGAACAGATGTCATCTGCTCATTACTGTGAGCAGATGACATCTTAGAGAAGCTCAAAATGTAAAAATCAAAAACCTTGTTCTGAGGTCACCTTTATTTATTTTTTTCTACACTTTATGAAAGTTCAAACATCTTGTGCTTAAGTTCATTGCCCTGTGCATTACCTAAATTAATCAGAAATAGGTCTGCTTCGTTTGTCATTGTATAAATACACACTCTAAATAGTTTATATATATATATATAAATATTATATTATTGGATTATTACTGCAAAAGTGGAGTATATGTATGGACTCTCAATGTTCTGACCCTGATGCCTCCAAAATATTCAACAAGTTTAAAAACATACATCATAAAGTACGCAACAAAAACACAAAGTAAATATATAACAGTCTCCTGCCGCAGCTGGTTAAAATAAAACAGACATGAGAGATAAACTGCCAGAAACAATCCCGCACTGATGGTCTGTACAGAGGTTACCAAGCAAAACAGAAACCTGAGTTGAGCAGTAAAGCAATATTGAAGCATTTCCACACAGGTCAGTCCCTAAAGTAAAGAGCTGTGAAGTTTAAACTGAAACTGAGTTTTTGGCTTCTTATGAAAGCAGAAAGATTTAGTGCCAAGCAAACATCGGTTGCTGTTTAGCTCCTGCTGTGAATGTGGAATGCAATGCAAATAGTTGGTATCAGCGCAGTCTCCAGTTGATAGTCTTTGCTTGGGTTGCAGTGTCTCAATTATAATGTGGATTTAACATTCTAAATGTGGAGTTTGCTTAAGCTTTTGAAAAGTGAAACAGTTTTTGGTCCTTTATATTCATACATATTTCCCTCTTTACAGTTCACAGACATCATAGGGTAGTTTATATGTGACCGAGGCAAAATAAGGAACCAAAATGACAAATGCATATTGGAATATGTAGACTTAAATCTATTCTCCAGGCTGTAAAAGGAAACGGAGACTAAATTTAAAAGTAAAACAAAAACAGATGTTATCAATTTTGAGAACTGCAGCCTTAAATAACAAAAAAGAGGCTTAGTTTTACTCAATAAGAAAAAGTATCAATGTTTTATTGATGGGACATTTTGTAAAAGGTAAATAAAACAAGTTTGTAGGTTTTAGAGGAATGCTGTAACTTTTGAGGTTGTCAGTTTAAAAAAAAAATCATAATAAATTATGAATATTATTCAGGTTGGTCACTCTATGATGGAGTTGCTATGAAGCTTAATTGTTCTCTATTTCTATTATAGTTGTTGGTGTTCTCTAATTTATAACTCCTACCGTCTATAAACTCAACATTCAAACTTTACCTCCTGGAAAAGAAGAATTGAATGCAAACAAATGAGACAAAAGCTACTTTTCTATTGTTTTACAATAGTTGCATTCTGTAATACGAATACATTGTGAGCACACCCTCACCGCTCTGCAGAAAGGTGTTTTACTGTCATATTTTGATTCATTTTTGCAGTTCCTTCTCTGCTCCCAATTTGCATGTTAATGTAATTAAGCCTCATTTATCCAAAATGCCTGAGCAAGACAGCAAGCAGATATAGTTAGGTGTATTGTGGTCTCCATGTTTATCGTGTCTTCACTCTTACTCTAGGTCTGGCTTTCTGGGAACGATTATGTTGTTGTTGGGGGATTGCTTCACACCCTCTCATAAAAGAAGAAAATGTCTCAGAAACATGTGAAGAAAATATGACAAGAATAGCAAATCATATACTGAGAATAAAGAAGATGTTTCTATTCTAAGAGCTAATGTGTTGTACTTAAGGAAAATATAAAACAGTTACATTTCATAGCATAAAGTCATTTGGTTCCTTGTTCTGAACATGCATCAATGCGTTGAGGCTTGGCATTTCCTTCGCCATTCCTGGAAGGTCATTTGCAGGCTTGGAGGCTTTCTTAAATCGCTGAAGAACATATAAATGATGTGATCAATTCTCCCCAGAACCTCCAGATATACACTAAATTACAGACGTCAATAATGTTGAAAACTTTGAATGCTTTATTATCTACTTACATGCCAGAGAGAACCTTTTTCTTTAGCCAGTTTGTAGATCATAGTAATTGGGATCATGGACAGCGATGACATGGCCAGAAACCAACCAATCCAGTAAGTCCACCAGGGATACACATACGTGTTGTTGAACTTCATTGGCGTGTATCTCAGGAGCAAAAATACAAGAGTTGCCTTCACAGGAAGAGAAAATGAAAAATAAATTGTTTTAATCAAAGTGAAAGGTTAACCATACAGATTGTAACTATTTGGCCTCTTACACTGCAAATAAGAGGGGTGATGTAGAGCCAGCAGTACTTGAACAGTGGCAGAGGTTTGTAACCAATCATGTCTTCGATGTTGTCATTAAAGCGCCCAGCACCTAGGACAACAAAGATATGTTATTTTATTAAAAGAAAAAAGGTGTACGAAGACTGCACACCATCTGACAGAAGATCATATACAAAAAAGTAGTTGCAGAGTAAACAAAAAATAGCTTGTAGAAACTCATCTATGAATCACCCGCATAAGGTATTCAAGCTACGCAAGTGCATGTCATTGTGTGGTGTGTTGAGGCAGACATGAAGGAACTCAGACTGAATGTTTTTCTTGGCATACGTCTTTGGTCTTTTTTGTTATTCACCGAGTTCCCACCCAAACTCCATTTTGTCTTTTCCCACTTTCATTTTGAAGCCATAAAGCAAATAGTTTGGACCCAAAGAAACACACCAAGAATTTGTCTGCTGACAGAAATTAGACGATTTTCAGCTTAACTGCTGATTTGACAAACAAAAACTGAAAAATCAGATATTTTTTATGTCAGTGAATGCACCAACTTAAATACTATCAAATAGTGGTGATGATAGCACTCAACAATGTGAATGCAGTTACAGAAAGAGAAAAACTCAAATTCATACTAAAGTATTGCATTAGTGTTAGTTAACTATAAATGCATAGTTTATCAGAGACGTTTGTTTTGGTGATCTATTAATCATTCGCAGCTTAATGTGCAATTTTGTTTTTCATTATCTTAATCTTTGTGAACTAGGTAAAATCGTAAATTTAAAAAAATACATCTACCATAACAACAAGCTAATTTTTAATCTCTCTAATGCTTTTGATCTTAGTTCGCTTATTTTTCCTTAACAATTCAAGACACTTTACAAAACACACTGTGGTCTAATTCATTATCCAACCGTAAAAGTGAAATCAACCCTATTTCAATTTGAATCATAACAATTTAATTTCAATGCAGTCAAATCAGTGCTTTGTTAAAGTATGCACACCCATTAAACTTTTTGACATTTTGTCTTGATATAACCACAAACTTTGTTGTATTTTTCAAGTATTCTCTGTGACAGGCTAAAATGTGGAATCGCAAAGTGGTTTCAGTTTTTTGTGCAAATAAAATCCTAAAACACGTGAATTTGCACAAAACCCAACTAAAACACTTTTAAGAAGGATCTTTGATTGGAATTACAGCCACAAATCATTTGGATGCGTCAGCTTTGCACATCTACAAACAGAAATCTTTAAGTATGTCCATACTTGTCTACAAGGGACAATTAAAGCTATTAATGAATAATGTCAGCAACATTTCAAGTCTTGTCACTGTTTCTGAATTGGGTTTTAGGTCTATGCTGTGACTGGCCTAGGCCACTCTCATAAATAGATATTCTCTAAAATAAGTCAGTCCATTGTAGTTCTGGTCATATATTTAATTTTATTGTCTTGCTGCAAGGTGAAATTCTGCAGCTGCTAACAGGTTTTCTCTTTGGACTGTAATTAGCTCCACCCGTTTCTCATAAACTTTGATCAGCATAAGCTTCGGAAAAAAATGTTGGTCACAGGTTATGTAGGGAAAAATGCAGAGAATGAGACAAACTTGAACACCCAGGAGGTGGGAACAGTTTGCAGAGAAGCCACTCCACAGAGATGCAACTCTGCATTAGCACAGAAGCCTGCATCAGTCTAGATGATCAAGACTGGTAGAGAATACACCTCAAATGACTTTCAGCTTTGTTTAAAGCAGAAATAAAAATCAGACACCTTCTTCTTCCACCTAACAAACATAGCATACTTGCTTACATAAAATTTTAGTCAAATGTCTGTGTAAAGGAAAACTAATTTAATAAGATTTACTAGAGATTTAGCTGTAAGCAAAGAGAGCTAAAGCACAACAGACTAAATTGTTGGTTTGCATGCCATCAGCAAGGGCTTAATTAACAAAAATTGTCTCTGAATCAGGCTGAAAACAAGAGTCTCAACAAAAAAGAAGGTAAGAAAATGTTAGAGTAACCAGATCCATGATGTGTCCCTAAGGGTTATGTGACAGGCCCGTTTGCCATGGCTTGCCCTGTATATCAAGATTAAAACAAGTCAAAACACCTTTGTCATTGACAGCCAGACTGGTTTTACGAGGCCACTTAACCAACTGGGACAGAGCTCATAAAGTTAAATTGTTTTTAACAATTGTATGTTGTCTTTTACAAGACATTTTGAGAGTCTAAATGTTACTGTAACTTCACTAAACTAAAACCTGGCTTACCATAAATCCATCCGATGACCACTGACTGGAAGATTGCCATTAGAAGGAGAGTCGGGCCGCTGCAAACATAATGATCAAAGATCTGCAGAATGTATGCACCAGCCTAAAATTAAGACAGACAACAATTACGGTTTAGAGCATTTTTTTTTTTTTACCAGTTTGTGAAACAAGTTTTAACAGTTACAGTTGCAACTAAAATGATTCCAGCAGTTGTTTGCAATAAACAAATTAAAAAAGAGTAACAGGTGTTACAAGTGGTTTCACCAAATTAACAAAAAAATGCTGTTTTTTACTAACAGTTTTAAAACTATTCAACATTTTTATGGAAAGCATTTTTTCCATAGGGAGAGAATCGTTTTAGTCATGACAATTTTTAAGACGTCTGAGCCGAATGTCAGTATTGTTCTGCATCTAATTTGCCTTACTAGAACTTTTTGGTAGAATTGAAGTCAGGCAAAATCATTCTCTATCCAGGATGTATTTTTAAATGAAATGTTGGATCATTGTCCTCTGTGAAGGTCCAATGATGCTCGAGCTTCAACTTTCTCACAGACTGCATGGCATTTTCTTTAATGACATCCTGAAAGTGGATTAAATCCATTGCTTCAGATGGAACAATTATGTGAACTAAGCCTTATGGCCATAATTGTTATGGATTTATTGCTAATCTTTAAAATTATGTCCAAGAACTCACCTCTGTGACCAAAAACAAACCAAACAAAGAGCTAACAATACAGATCAGCAACAGAAGAAGCTCCCTGCGGTATCCCTTTCGGAGGTAGGAAGGGTAAAGATCTGCTAAAGACGTCATGATGCTTTCAAGCCCTGCAAACTGCAATGAAGCAACATAATGGGAGTTTAATACAGAAAATGCAAAAGTAAAACTTGGAACAAAGCTTATTATAAAATAATAATAATGACCTGTCCATCAATTCCCAATAAGATGATCATGAAGAAGAAGCACACAGACCAGACCTGAGACCATGGCAGAAGAGTTACTGCTTGAGGATAGACAATGAAGACGAGTCCAGGACCTACAGAAAATACACAAAGGAAGTCACTCAAGTTGCCAAAACTTGAGTGACTTTCTAAAGTTGCTGCTAATAAACAACACATCTCTCATACAACATGTTATTGGTTGACTGTTGTCCAAAGACATAGCCATATCTGAAATGTGCTAAATGAAATGTAGTAAGAAATAACTTATAAACATCTTTTTTTTAATCAGTCACAGTGTCATTTAAAAGGAAAACAAAGTCAATTTCTGGAGAAAAGAAGAGGCAGTTTACAAGCATTCATGCTGATCTGGAGCATCTATACCTGACTCAGCAACTGCAGAAATGTCAACTCCCTGCTTTGTTGACATGTAGCCCAGAACAGAGAAAATTGCAAATCCAGACACTATGCTGGTTCCACTGTTCAGCAAGCAAAGATAGAAGGAGTCTCTGCAAATCAGATGAAATATTACAATTATTTGCTGTTATTTGTGATTATTGTGTCACAGTACGGACATCTTCACAGAAGTAAACAATTGGGATGACTTATAGTGCAGAGAACACTAAGTAAAACTCTTTTTTTCTCGTTGAATTTATCAAGCTGTTATTTATTTTAGTTAGCTAGAGTAGAAGCTAGCTAAAAACTAACTAATAAGTGTTCAGAGAATACACCCCTATTTGCTGCCCAGTCAGTTATGACTATGACTTTAGTCATTTTACATGCCATTTTGATTAATTACAGCAATAAATACTCAGCTAAATAAATAATCTCTTGATGGTAAACTAGAGATTTACCCTCCATATATTGAACTCAGGTGTTACAATACCATCTATGGTCACCGAAGGCTTCATAAATATTTGTGATATTATGACAAAACCATGATGAAGGTTGTTTATGAGTTGGGCTCAGGTGTTAGTTCCAGTGAAAGAAACACTTAAAACTGCAGAAAACCAAAATATTTTGGTTATTCCAATATCACTGCATATGGAGCACAAAACAAAGTCTACTAGGAGGAGAAATACCAAATTTATTGTGGAGGAACTTGATTTGTCTGTCTAGAGTCTTGACCTCAACATTACAGAACACTGTTGAGATGAAGTAGAGATGAGTCTGGCAACGAGGCCATCATGTCCAGCATTAGTGTCTGACCTCACAAACGTTCTGGAAAAATTCTCATAAAAAGATTTCTATTTATATATGCCCTTCCCAGAAACAATATAGCAGCATAGGAATGTATTACAATAAATCTGGGGTGATAAAATTAAAATGTCTAAAGAAAAAAAAAAAAAGAAAAAAGAAACACAATCTACTTTATGTGATTCAAAATCAAGAAAATCATAAAACATAAAAGCTCTGTCCAATGAAGCACCAAGAATTTGCACAGAAAGGTTTTGAAATACAACAAGCAACTTGGATCTTTTTAGTAGATAATTGAATTAAAATAACTTCAAACTTTTATTTTCAAATAAAAGCTGCTTACTTATGTAAAATAATGTGTCCATCATTTCCTCACCTGTAACAGTTGTTGTTGTATTTGTTGTAGCTTCCAAATGTGGTCATGTACCCCAAGCAAATGGCATAGGAATAAAATATTTGTGTTCCAGCATCCATCCAGACCTAAAGAAGTCAAAATAAATCATTTTTAGTAATGTACTATTTTTACTTGTGCAAAAATATTAGATGCTAGTGAGATGTACAGCCATGTCAAAATTTAGGACATGGCGAAGGCTTTTGTGTTTTTCCTGACATATTTGGAGAAGTAGATGTTTAGTAACATCTTGACTTTCTACAGAAATTCAATTAAAATAGGAAAGTAATAAAATTAAAATAAAGCCCCATGACTGTAAAATTTCGAATTATTTTCTTAACTGTAGATGTATTTGTACCTGTGGATCAGCGAGTCGTGAAGGATTAGGGTATAGGTAGTATTTGATACCATGGAATGCTCCAGGAAGTGTCATTCCTCTGAAGAACAGCACCACCAACAAAACAAAAGGGAATGTGGCAGTGAAGTATGTAGCCTGCATAAAAAAACAAACAAACAAAAAACCCCTAAAAACATCTGTAATAAATGAATGCACTCAGAGGCGACCACCGAATTTTGAAATGCACACGTTTGGCAGCTTGGGAATTCATAAATACAGTTTCTAAACTGATGACATAAGACATTATCCAGCAAATAAGCAGATGTCAAATGTTGAATTAGTTACAAAACTCCCACTGTTTTATTTTCTATTTACACACCCCCTCTTTGAGTATTACAAAACATATCTATTCATGTGGGACAGAAGAATTAGCCTCAGGTTACCTAAGAGGCGTCAATGATCTCTACGAGTTCAAGTGTAATTTGATCCACAGGCACTGAGGAAAAACACTGTTGGATCTGAGTCAAGCCTACAGTGCCTTACAGAGAGCCGAGGTTACATGAATACTGCCTGAGATGTCTGTGCAGACGATCAAGGCTGGACAAAAATAACCATTAGATTTCTAACTTATACATTCCAACAGAAGGTGGCAGACAGTATTACATTTTTAATAAGTTCACATTGTTTTGTTATTCATGCATAAGAAGCTTCGTTTGTTAGTAAAAAATAAGATAAAAACACAGAGGATAAGTGTGAATGAAAGGTGTCCGTTCCGATTAAAGCCTGCATCACGCATAATGCACATTCATTTATTTCAGTCTTACCTTCCCTGTGGATCTCACTCCCTTCCATACACAGAAGTAGCAGATGACCCAGGACAGAAAAAGGCACAATGAAAGGTCCCAGCGAATGTTTCCGATTGTCTCTATGCCCGTGGAAATGTTTAACACACGTCGCCTGCAAAAAGTATGTGAGGTCAATATTGATAAACAAATATTTACAGAAATATGCATGCTCAAACTCAATATAATCTGGAAAAATTCCTTTGCAAAGGAAATGTACAGGATCAAACAATAAAAGCATTTCTTTGATTATAACTACAAAAATGTTTTATATCTTAGCTTGATAGTTTTTAAATATGCTTGTTGATTATGTCAGTTTTTGGTGTTTTAGATGCAGAAATCCTAACTGGTGACACAGAAAATGAATACAGCTGCCTAACCCTACCCAAGAGCAAATGAAGACTTGTTTATTTGTCTAAAGGGTCCTAAGGGGAAATATTAATTGATTCTAAGCCAGACAGCTTTGCTGCTTCTCTCTGCAGGGGGACGGCAGTAATGTAATTAAACATGCATAATAACCCCAAATCAGCAGGTTTGAGACTGTTGTGGATCTATTCACTCGATCTACACAGATGACTAGATCAAGTTAACGTTTGCAAAAATGCTTAAGTCAGATGACTTGATTTCAGAAAAAGATAAAAGTGACTAAAGTGAAAGCTGTCTTTATCTTGCAATATGGTGCGGAACTAAATTGTTTAGTTTTATGATGTTTTCATATGGAGCAAAGGGTTTCATTTTACTTATTTCTAAGTTAACAACTAAGAAGTAAATAATATCTGTTGTTGATTGTTATAACCAGATTATTTGCGTTAGCTATATTTGACTATTATTATTATTGGGAAAGAGTCGGTCCTAAAGGGAATTAATGACATCTTAAAACATCGCAGCATTCAAAAATGGTGAAGTGGATCATAGTTTTGTGTTACTTCTATTTAACTGGACATGTTTATTTATTTAAAATTAGGTTAGTCTTGGTCCATATCTTTTCCAGTAATGGTCCATGTGATAGAAATACTGCTGTTGATCATGACCTGGTAAAATACGCTATAAGGTCTTTCATCGTACTGTTTTGCAAAAAACACACTCAAATCTTTTTCATAGGAATTTTATGAGAAAGACCCACACAAATGAGTACAAAACTGTAAAGTGGAAGAAAAAGTGACACATTGCTTGTGTGAATTTATAAATAAAGTTGGCATACCCCAACAATCAGGTGAAAAATTTCACTCAAGTAATGCTGACTGAAAAGAGAAAAGATGACAATGCACAGGCTAAGAAATGAATCCCATGCATGGAAACACTTCTATCTGTAAACATCTTTCTTGTTTTGATTATATGAGCCTTATTATTGTTTTACTTTAAATAAGTCATTTTTAGTTATTTCATTTGAATCATGTTCATTAAAGCTGGAGCAGCGACACATATACAGAACACCAGCCTTTAGAACTGAAATTGAAGATTCAATAATAACTTTTTCATCAATCTGTGAAAAAGTAATTTTCTCAAGAGGCTTTCCACAAAGGTTTCCTCTATGATTTATTATTTATTGCAAGATTTAGCTGAATAAATCTGACTAAACTGAAATCATCAGTACAGATGTCAAAAGTGTGACTGAAATTATACTAAATTGTATTGAAAGTCTGTGATTAAAACTAAATGAAGTTTTCTGTCAAAATTAAGACTAATCACCACCGTATTTATAATAAATAATCAGTGACTTCTAAGGAGATAAATATCAAATGGAAATGTGCAGCACTGCAAAGTTCATAAATATTTATAAATGTTCCTGTGGACAATATTTGTCCACAGGAACATACATACATACATACATACATACATCCATCCATCCATCCATCCATCCATCCATCCATCCATCCATCCATCCATCCATCCATCCATCCATCCATCCATCCATCCATCCATCCATCCATCCATCCATCCATCCATCCATCCATCCATCCATCCATCCATCCATCCATCCATCCATCCATCCATCCATCCATCCATCCATCCATCCATCCATCCATCCATCCATCATCCATCCATCCATCCATCCATCCATCCATCCATCCATCCATCCATCCATCCATCCATCCATCTTCCAAACCCCCCTCGTCCTGTTCATGATCATAGGGAGCTCACAACAGTCATCCAGTGAAAGATGGAGGTTGTTCTTGTCCATCGCCTTCAAATCACTTGATCTGTGACGAATTTCAACTTAAAATTAGTTCCATATTTATAAACACTTACTGCCAAAACTCTATAACAGATGACGATGATGCAGATGAAGTCCAGTTAGCAGTGGTATTATAGTTGTTTATTTCCACACAACGATCTGAAATATATCAGATCTTTGTTAAACATGTAGGCTTATCATTATCAATTTTGCAACATGAGATGTGGTTTAGTTTAGTTTAAGCTTCCTAAAAGGTCTATATCCTGTGTGCAATGAAATAAAATAGTTTTGTAGATGATTATGAAGTAATAAAGTCACTTACTTTTACGGAGATACGTGGGGGTATTTTTGCTTAGATAAAATCATGTACCTGTATTCCATGTGTTATTGCAGCTGGCCCATGGCAGATTTCCGGAGAAAGAGGAGAAGAAGTAGAAGAATGCCCACGCTAAAATCGCAACATAGCTGATGTTTCCATAGAAAATTATAATCTGGCTGGCATATCCCATACCTGGAAATGATAAATAATCTTTTGTTAGATTTCTAGTCTTAATTTTATATTTGATCTTGCAGGTTACTCACCTTCAAACAAGGGGCAGATCTTTCTCCAGCACATGATTCCTCCCTGACTGGTGTACTGGCCCAGAGATGTTTCCAGGACAAACAGAGGAACGCCGCAGGTGATGAGAAAGAGGAAGTAAGGGATGAAGAATGCGCCTGCAAGTGACATTAGACCATGTAACACTTTTACCAAACAGACCTTTGAATTAAGTATACCATCAATAATACATAAGTTTTGAAAAGAACACAGCGGCTTGTGGTGTGGTACGGAGCCAGGTGCCGGGAGCCTGTTGAAAGGCTGTTAACACCGTTGTAAATTGCGTGATTCTGAGCGTGAGTGGGAATAAAAATACCAATAGGTGTTTTGTTCCATAGAACACTGTAGGAGTGTGACCAGTAAACCTTTTTGTGGATGCAAAGGCAAGAACCTCCCACTTGATGACTTTGTGTTTGTTATGATGTAAAGCACTTTGAAATGCCTTGCTGATCAAGAGCACAACATAAATTTTGCTCTTGTTGAACAGAGATAATGTCAAGTTTTCTGGATGTCAGTCTAACAAATTTTTCAAAACTTATAATAGTCTCAATTGAAACAATGTTTCAATGCACAACTCGTGTCACTTGTTTTGTAATTCATAGCTGTCTATGTGTTATATAAAACTAACTCATTTTCATCAACATGTGCTATATGTAGCTTTTGCTTTTAGAGAAATTTCAAAATTTAGTCACTGATCTTCTACATTGCAGAGTATTTTCGGAGGAGTAGAAAATCAATCTTTTATATCTCAACTCAACATTCTTGAATGTATGGCATTTAAATAATTAGCTAACTTTTATAACACTGTAGGGGGTTATTTGTGGTCTGCATGTTAAGTGCACAGTTGCAGTCCATTAGCAATATATTGTGCAGCCTTAGCCCTGACATTTTTAATGCAGTTTAGCAGTAAAATTGTGTCCCACATGGTTATAATTATTAAACTAACAACAAAATCCTGATGACGCTACTGATTCATTTTTAACACACAACAGCTTACAAGTATGTTGTTTAGAGAAAAGTGCTTATTGGCCTTGCCTCATTTAATCTCATTTACATTGCAATGCTCAGATTAAAAACAGAAACATTTTTCACCTCTTCACTTTTGGTTTGGGTAATTCACCTCTCTGCATGTGGCCAGAGCAGAGATCCACACACGCCTACAATCCTTATCCAACAACACTTGCAAAATTGATGCAAGGGTGTGCTTCTTCTAGCTGGCGCAATAAAATCCACATCACATGTGAAAAAATACTTTACAGCCTCTACAGGCTAAAGCACTGTCGTGTTAGTCCCAAGGTGATTTTTTTGAAAGTTGTATTGTGCTGTAACATGCCTGATTAAAATAAAACAGAAATCTAAAACACTGACCTCTGCATTTTATCTCCAACAAGCGGATGTGTTTTTTTTTAGTAATCTATAGAAATAAAGTAATTTCTTTCAGATAACATCTTCAGATTTAAAAAGTATATATAAATGTACTTTTTATGGAATGTAGAGATAAAGCTGCAATATACTTTGACTTTGTGTGTTTAAATTCTTTACCTCAGGCTGGGCTTCACTGCCTGACCTGCAGATCTAATTTTGAAGTAAGTCAAATGCGGTGGGGGCAAAGGCTGACTCTGTAAACACAAATTCTTTTGGTCTAAACCTCAGGGGTCCATGGGCAAAATCTCACCCTAACAGACCAGGCTTTGCTTTGGCTGCTTACTATGGACTGTGAAACTGGTGGCAGGAGACAGCTGTGTGCAATATTGTCAGGCAAATATTCTTCTTCACAATTCACAAGAAATTTATATTGTGTCCAAAAGTAAAAATAAATTCATAAATTCCTTAAAAAAACAATGTTTGTATGCCAACACTTCTGTATTCAGTACCTTGGTTCCTTACTCCAAGCAGCTAATTTGAACCGATTACTTAGAACTTCACATATTTTTAATTTTAATGAACTAATTTGGTGAGCTCTGGCGGACATTCTTTGAGTTGTAGTGAAAAAATTTGAATAAAAAAATCTTCCGTAGTCTTTTTAGGTACTAAGAGTATTAATCCAATAGGAAATAAATAACAAACATGAAGATATTGAAAATCAAATAAAAAGATATTTAAGATAGTACTGCAGACAGGCAAAAACTAAGGAAATAATGTAAAAAAAAAACATAGAGGCTTCGATATTTAGAGCTCTACCACTGGCTTTGACACTAATGTCTTGTTTTGCGAACTGTAAATACTCTATACAGCCAAGTGACTGGACAAACTCCATAAATAAATAAACGACCATTTGAAACTCTGTCAACTCAACACTGAAACATGGCACTCTGGACTTAACGGTGGGACCAAATCAATAAGTTATAAGATTGTCTCCACAGATCATTTTCTGATAATTATCAAGTAAAAAATCTAAATTGGGGTCCAAATCAATTTGTGCTACATGTCATATAGTCTTGGTTCATCTCAGGTCATTTCATACAACAGATGAAATAATGCACAAATGTGACTTCTTTCTTTTTTAGCTTATCAAGTGGCAAGATGAGACCCAACAGATTTACTTTCACAAGTGGAGAATTATGGATTTTGTTGTGACGCAACAGAGCAGATGCCACACAACCACATCAGACCCCCTGATCCAGAACTAGGACGAGATCAACTCACTTGCCAAGCCAAAGGCAGCCCCCACAACATCCCCACGATTCCTCCACAAACCACACCAACAAACCTTCATCACTGGCTGCAACGTCAGCCCAGAAAAAACTGTCACCAAGCCCGGATCCATCATCACCACCATGGTACTATGCCGTGCTAGTGCCAGAAAATTCCAGAATTCTCTGCTGGAAATCCATTTGGACCTGAGGCCTTGTTATTAGACATTCTTTTCAGACAGTACCACTGCAGTGGGTCTGATAACAAATGATGAGTAGAGCGCTCAAACAACCTGGTGCTCAAAACTAGTAAGACCGACCTGAGGTCTTGGTCTTACTGTAGGAGGGCCAGGAGAACAGTGTACACACCTTTTACTTTTCAAGAGAAAGTGCTGAAGTTCATGGACAACAGCAAACTACTGGGCATCTGCATTACTTTGGTCCCAACCTGGCCTCTTCTCTGACAATGAAGGTCCAAAAAAGACTCTTGTTTCTCAGGAAACTGAAAAGAGCTGAACTCCTTGCTCAGTTGCTCAAGAACATCTATAGGACTGTGATTGAGAGCTTCCTCAGTATGACTCTATGTCGGGTGGAAACTGCCCAGATTGTAGGGATTCGTTGAACTATGTTAAATGAATTATGTATGGCTGTTGTAAACTAATATTTTAGTAATTGAGTAATATATCGATTATTCTTACGATTAATCGGGTTACAAAAAAGGATAACATGAAAGAAACATTGGTAAATCTAACATAACTGCTGTGTTACTATCGCATATCTACACAAGTCCAGTTTTTCAAATTGGAGCTTCCCTAACAATAACTTTTCTGTAGTTTAGAAAATTAACCTGTAAGAATAATAGCTCACTCTCTTAGTTAACCTGAAGAAAAAACATACAGAAATCATACTCAATATAATGATAAATAGGCAAGCTCACAAATACGCTTCTAAAAATGTCTATGCTTACCAGCAACCAGCCGCCATGATGCGCTCCGCCACCCATTTGAGACCGGAAGGATATGATATACGGACGGGTGACGGACGATTCGTCCGTTAAACTACACTTACATTAAACATCTAACGTGCAGCCGCCCGCAATTTTCAGTCTATCCGCTCACCTGTATAAATACACCTTCATCTCTCCTTCTAGCCGTTCGCTTTTAACAACAATAAGTAGCTCCGGGAGGTAACGAGCTGCCGCCATTTTAAAAAACGACAAAGAGCCTCGAAGGCCGAACTTGAAAACTGGACGTTATGCTGGTAACGCTTAGCTTACGTCGACAACGTAGGCGGAAGTGAGAGCGATGGGCAACGCAAGCAATAACCAGACCGGAACACGGTGCATTGAATAATAAAATATAACTTAAAGAAGTGTCGGGGCAGATAAATTCACATAAAGAGAAACTTTTTCCCAATAGCTGTGAAACTTTTTCCCAATAGCTGTGAAATCTATCTGTCCACCTTTAACCATCTTTTGCCACTCTGCAGACACACAACCATTTGCCGCACCCTAACATATATATGCAGTATAGCATTTATTTATTTATTTATTTATTTACTTATCACTGAGAGTACCACTGCAATGTTGTACTGTTCTAATCCAGTGTTATGTATTAGAGCTTCCTGGAGTTCAATTGATGTCAGTGGTGGGTCTAGCGCCACTGCTTGACTTCCTGAAAATTTAGGAAGTGTCACCTCATCCAGAAATTGATCAATTTCATTACACAAATGTGGCTATTTCAAAAGCATGCAGGCACTGTGTTATCATATGGGAATTTTCCATCAATACTGTTTTGTTCCCGATCGGATGAGTGAATTCCAAGAGCACAATCTCAGGATTCATCAGGATTAAACAGTGAATGGTTCTTCAGTGGGCATGAAATATCATTTTCACACATGACTTGGCCAACACAGAAACGCCACCTTAGTCAGAAACACTAAGTATCTTTTATAGTGCACCCAAAAAGACTTATATTAGTGTATGGTTATGTGACACTGCATGAGCATGATCTAAATGATTATCTTCATGCCACTCGATAAGTCATCAAAGGTTGTGATTGCATTTGTATGGACTGGGTGCTTAAGCAGATGAGAAAATATTTTCAAAAATGACATGTTTATACACAGAGCGTCCTGTTTGATTGAGAGTTTGCAGTTAGTGCTGCACACTGCAGGCCAGTTTTAAGCATTTAAATAGTTCAGGAGGGACAGGTAATGAATTCCAAAAACTTTTAAACAAATAAACACTCAAACAGTTGTCCAATTTGCTTTGAGCTTTAAGAAAAACTCCCACATTCCCACACTAATATTGTGTATTTTTTTCACAATTTTGAGTTTCAACTTTTGATATTATTATTGTTAGTAATATTTTGATTAAAGAATTTGACTTACATAAAATGTAGGTAATTTGGGCATTTAAATTAGACTATTACCAGTCCTTTTTTTACTCACATACTTTTAAAGAGGATATAAGCAAATTTAACTTAATAAGATGTTTTAATTTGGTTTTACTCCTGAATATGATGGAATGTGGTTTTAACTGAGGCCATGACCTCTAATCTAGTGTCGGCATGTGTAGTATTTCAATCAGTACATAGGTGAGTTCATTTTGGAAGATGAAAACACTCATCATTTCCTTTTAATTTTGTTTGAATAAATCTAAAGATACAAGAGAAGTGAAATAATTACACTTCTCTTGTAAGTATTACAACTAACATGCTGCATATCTAACCCAACATGTCTAGATAAACCCGACATCTGTCATAAAGTTAACAGTTTATGAGGTAATAAATACATTTTGATATCAGCATAACTGTCTGTTTGTAGAGTAAATCATTTGTAATGTAAATAGTTAATTTGAAAAATGCCTTATTGGACTGAACTGTTTGTTGCTTTTTTTGGTTTTCTGTGTTTGTTTTTTTAATGTCCTGAGAGATATTTGTTGCAATTTGGTGGAATGTAAAGAAGTCGAATTAAATTGTGGTGAGGTTGAAAGTTACTCTTGATGTTTTTGTTCGGCAAACTAGACAAAATAGTATGCCTTCAAAGATTATGAACAAACAGGATTTTATTTTCAACAGGACTCAGCTTCAAGAGAGACAGACTTTACCGTTGGTCTAATGGTCCCACTGTTTGCTGCTCCGAACACCCAAGGATAGCTATTCATATCAATGCGTTGCATACCTCCCCTGGTAATGGGATCTCAGGGTTCTGCAGAGAGCATGCAGAGCAAGAGGGCATTTTCCCTCCAAATAGCTCTGTAATTGTGGACCTGGTTTTATAGCATGGATCAAAGCATCCATAATATCTGTCACTGGATAACCTTTGGCAAACCCACTTTCACTCTGTCTTGCTAGCCTGCACACAATATTTGTGAACCCAATTTTTGTATCCAACCATAAACAAGCTAGCTTAGTGAAAAGTATGTTAAATTCTCGCTTTTCAAAAGAACTAATTTAATCTGATACAAGCTTATCAGAACTCATATTCTAATTTTGAGAAGATGACTTTATAGAATTTTCCTGTTAAATGATTACATACCGAGCATATCTTGTGTTTTAAATGTTTGAATGATCTGAAACCTAATACAAGTTTGCAGTTTTCAGCAAAAGTTAAAAAGTTGAGAGCCCATTGCTTCAACATGGCAAGGAAAACACATCCATTCTTTTTTGACTTAACTGTCAAAGCCTGTAAATTTGTTTGCGAACAACTATTTTGAATTTACTTTTTTTATCCAGCAAAGTCCCACAAACCACAAAGACTAGTAAAAATACTCACCCCCACCATTTTTGTAGCAAAGATATGGAAATCTCCACACATTACCGAGTCCAATAATAGCACCAGCCACACTCAGGATGAACTCTTTTTTGGTTTCCCACTTGCCGCGCTCCTCAGCAGCCTGTAAGGCTTTCTTTCCCAGCAAATGGCCCAGTTTGCAAGGAGTGTCTGCCATCCTGCTCTGAGAGAAATGATCTTTTGGGAGGACTGGTGTGGGTCTTTGGATTGCCTTGCTGTGGGAGCTGGTGTTATGGGCTTACCTGAATGGTTACCAAACTTAAAGGTTGTGTTTTGCATGAGCCACAAGATGGTGCTGCAGCAGTATCCCGAAACAGAAACGTGAGTTTGACATGTGAGAAGTGTGATTATATGACTTTGACAGGAGTGTTTTCATACCTGATGAATGACTAATAATTACAGTAACATGCAGTTTTACCCTAGGCATCGTCTCCATTCACACAGATAAGCTTGTCAGATTTAAGTAATAATGTATAAATAAGCACTGCCTCTGAGGTCAGAGACAGACTTGCTGAAGTGTTCATAACACTCAGCTTTCTCACGTTTTGTAATGATGCAAAAACAAACTTCAAAGGATTCTGATTGATTATATATATATATTTTTTATTATCAATTAGATGAAACTGATGCATTGTAAATTTTTGAAAATGCTCCCTTTACGACTTTAGATATTTTTGGGGTGTGCTACTAGCGACTTTATTTATCCAGAGACAGAAACATTTGGCAAATTTTATTTGCTTAACATCTCAAAGTCAGTCAAATTGTGTTCGAAGCATGTTTGAACATCTTGTTTGAAGTCCTGCCACAGACCCTCAATTATATTTAATTACAGACTTTGACTAGGCCTGTGCAAGAAATTAGCAGACCTTGTCCTGAACCCTTTTAATAGCTCTGGCTGAAAGTTCAGGAATGCTTTCCTGCTGTGGAGTGACCTCCCCCCTCAGCCACCCTCCAACAGGATTGCAGTCTCTATCTCTGTCCATCTATCTGTCACGAAAAGAAAAGCATTTAGTCAGGATTGTTCTACCCAGTTTTTATTTACACACATAGCCTTGCACATGTTAGTTTGCTCATGTTATCTCTTTTTAAAGACTAAATTGCCACCACTGCTCCGAATAGCTTAATAATGCACCACATCTGTGGCAAATAGTTTTTGGGTTTTTATAAACAGGCAATTTTCACTTCTGGGTATTTTTGTGGGATAGAGCTATATCTGATTATTGTTATACACCTGGCACATGAGGAACTTTGCTGATGTTCATCATTTTAATCAGTACAAATCAATGTAATGAACTGTAATTACACTGTATGTCAGGAGACATAAATCACAAGAAATAAAAAAAAAGCTTGTTTTATTCTTGCACCTCTCAGTATAGAGGTGTCGCAGTACGTGATGTCTTAATCAGTTTCAGGGCTTTCAGTCATTCATTCCTCTCCAGGGTTACTTCTGTTCACCTCAGGACTTTCTGGCTTTCTGAAAGTCACAGCAGGGGGGACCTCAATATCATTGCCCCTCCTCCTGAGTGCACAATAATCTACTATGTCTCTGCTCCAGCTTGTTGGCTGGTGATTTGGGCTTTTCAGTTTTCTCACAGGAGCTTTTTACCCCTTCCAGACAAATGTCTGAATATTAACCAGTCATGGACTTAAAATCACTTCATTTATATACTAAATAATGCTCAACAAAACTGGAGTAAAAGCTTGGGAGGCAATTTATATTTTTTTAATTTTTTTATTAAATGAACAAAGCATTTGCAAATTTAGAGATCTTGTGTTACATTATCATAGCCTGTAATTCTCATAATCCTGGAGATTTTGGATTTTTATTTTCCTGTGTGCTGGTATTTTGATCATTTATTGGTGACCTATTTATATTGTGTAAGTTTTGTCATTTTCTTTTCAGTTCTCTGTAATTATTATTGCAGAGAAGCACAGTGTTACAACATAGTCATCATTGTTCATTATGTGTCAGACAATAATAAAGATCCAAAAACATGGTGAAATTAATGCAAATTGTTTAACAAATCAATCAACATTATTTTTTGACAGTTAAGAGAAGACTAAAAGCTTTCAAAGACAAAAAACACAGTTTGTTTTTTCACAGCCAAGAAGTCAATAATTGTCACTTTATTAATTATTTGCTAACTTAGGATTTTTTTCCCCATTGACTTAATGTTAAGTTTAAGGAAGTATTTTTCTAAACCCAAAAATAGAGAGGAGGAGGCTGGGAAGCCAGTTAGACAAAATGTTACAACCACAAATGATGAAGCTGTTTAATGGTTTTTACTCTAAGTTGCTAACAAGAGTTAATCCAGCTGCATGGTAGTTTTTCTAGTCAAGAAAAACAAGAAGAGCAACAGAGTCTTCATTGTTACAATAAAACGCTGCAAGTGTTTCTAATCAATTGTTTACATGTAATGTGAAGCATCGGTCGGCAAAGCAGCATGTGATAAACTGTGAGAACAAAGTACAGCTCTGTACACACTCAAATTTAAAAATGTCAGCAGTCTCATCACAGGGAATTGCTGCTGGCCTTCTGACGGGGGAAATACTTGTTATCCTAATATTAATATTGCAGGAATGTGAAGCTGGAGATCCAGGAGAATATCCACACAGTGGATCTAGAAACTGGACAAAGAAAGTCTTGAACTCCTGTGATTTAAAGCAGAGGATTTATGCCAGGAAGAGATTGTACTTGTTGATCCACCCTGTTTGTTCCTCATGTGCTGGCTTATTGTAAAACTCTCTAACTTTGACATTTATCTCTGCAGATCTTAAATAGATTATTCTAAGAATTGTCTGTTATGTTTATGTTTGTTCTGGCAGAATAACTTCTAATAACTTTGATACCTTAATTCTTCATTCTTCCTTCGCGTTTACTAATATATAATTTCATTTTGTTAATATTTTTTATTTATTTATCCCAACATCCTCGGGGCTGGTGTTTGCCACATTAGGCTACTCAAGGAAATTGAAGATTATGCATAAAAAAGAGAACAGTAACAATAAAAACAACAGAAAAACAATTTTTTTTAGACTATAATTCCTTGTAAAACAAAAACGTATCTTCTTCATCATATTTTGTCAAATAACTGCTGCTTTTGCTGCCTGATAGTTCACTTGCTGGGCCTCAAGCTGAAATTTCTTAAGGACAAACATGTTTTACACCCTGTAGACATGGAAACCAATACAAATTTTTTTCAGCATTTTATTTTATCTATGTAGCATCATGCCTCTTTGACATAATATGTCAGTCACATTTTCTGATATTATACATTATTTAATTTTTTTATTTGGTTCATTTTGAGCAGGCAGCCAAAGGGTTCAGATAACGGTTACTGCTTTGTAAGCCTCTAAACTCACAATAATTAAACTGAGAGCCGTCAAGGAATGCGTTTTAAGGTCATATTTCATACCCAATGTTTCTCTGTGCGACATCAAGGGAAATAAAAAAATCAAGGTGACAGGAAGAAACGTGTAGATGCCCATAAGTTTGGTACATCCTTACATACAGTTTTCTGACATCTGTATGTGCTATTCATTTGTTTAAACAAGTATATGTTTAACCAACTTGTCCAGTCTTGTTACTGGCCAGGGGGAGAAAGGCTCCCTCTTGAAGATAAAAGTGCTTTGCTGTGAAATGTTTCAATCATGGAATAAAAGTCATTGTGAAGAAGCTGACTGAAGCTGGTAGGAGTATCATTGATGGCCTTTTAAATTTGGAGAGACTTGTTACAAAACAAAATAGCTTCTTACGCAGGTTATAAGATAGACGATGATAAATTGCTAACATTTTTTGGCTTCAAAAGTTCTTTCCCCTTCAGCATTGTAGCTGCTTCATCTCTGAGTTGCCTAATAATTAATAGGCCTGGTGACTGATCACAACTGGCAGCCACATATGCCGTGATATTGAACTGCACTCTGCATGTTTGAAAGGTGATGTGGTATGCCTTGAAATATGAGTTATTGCCTTTTTACCTAACTGTGTTTCTCGGTTGACCTGGAACACTTTTGGCTTCAGAATTAAGATTCTCAGAACTTTTCGTTGAACTTTCTCAACATTTTGTCATCTGTGCACATCATAGTAACAATTTCTCACTTCTCCCAACAAGTTGCAGATCCTTCTGGACATGGATCAATTAAAAAGAGCTGTTTCAAAATAAGTGTTTTCGGTGCAAAAATGTTTACTGCACTGTACGCACAATAGAGCGAGTGCATTTCGCTGAACCTGTGAATTTGAAGTGATAGAGAAAATCCCATAGCCACACCTGAAACATAAAATACATAGTGATATCTTAAAGTATTAATAAATTATTTCGAATGACAGTTGCAATTACTGTGATTACCTCCTCCAATTTGCACAAGTGGTTTTGGAGAACTAGCTGTTCTTTCAGACCGCTGCACTTTTAGAGCAGATTTGTTTTCTCTGCTTATCTTTTTTCTGCTGTACTGCTTGGGACTGCTGTACATGAACTCTAACACCACGAGTGATTTGGTTTTATTGTGAGGGCGAGAAACTGGCAAAACTTGCACAAGTTAATGAACATAAATCAAGCAATAATTGAGACCTTTATATTTGAATTGTTTCATGAGCCCTGATGGCAGAGGCAGAATAGTTTTTCTTTTTACTCTTTAATTACTAAATTACTGTAACTCACATGAGCAGATTTATGGAGCTGTAATCATTCATTTGTTGTGTTAATAAAAAAATAAGATTAAAAGCAGTCAATTCACTGGATCAATTGTAAATATAGGTTTTCTTATGAGTTTCAAACAAAAAATTTGTGCACTTTTATTTAAGAAGTAGAAGAGCTGTAACTATTGTTTTATATCTGTGAAAGACTGAAAAAGATCTACAATTAGATCGAACCAACAGTGCTACCATCTGTGCCACTGTGCAGCCCCTTATTTATATATAGTTAAAGCTGTCACTGTCACATTGTGACATAATCTCTGAAAAGATCAGGCTCCTCCGCCTCCACCCAGTGTTATTATTGTCTGAAGAAATGCACCGCTCAACAACAACAAAAAACAAAGCCACCATGTATGTCCTTGTAATGGCGGAGAAACAACTTACAATTCCATGACAATAACGTATCCGCCATCATCTGTGGCCATGCTAACTAGCTTGAGCATTTATGACAGGCTCAGCAGTCGAGAAGACGCTGTAGTGCACCAAAAAGCAACAGCTGCACCGGGAGGTGGGCTGAGCAACATGCACACA